GTGGAGCCTCCAGATGCTCTGAGATATACAGTTACATCGGATCAGTGGGCGCTCATCTTAATCAGAGCGAGGTTCCCTGCTTCCTGCCGCCCTCCGGCACAGACAGGATTTTCATAAAGGACTCGAGCTGTCCAGGAAGTCTTAGCCGTGCCGCATGAATTCTAATCTCCTTCCCAGCGAGGCTGCGAGTCATTTGTGCCATTTTGCGTAATATCCTTCAGAGCTCTGTCTTGTTACTAAATGATTATCTGACTGCTCACATGGCCTCTGGTCGCATGGAGCAGATAAGCCTGATCCTGCTCCTATAGAGCGGCCATGGCCGTGCATAGGATGAGGTATTATGCGGAAAGATCCGCTGACTCGTAGCATCCAAAATCTCCCCGTTATGGCTAAAAAAAAAACGTCAATTAATTAGGCAGGTCTATGTTTTTGTTTCTTCACGGCAGAGCAGCGGTCTAAAATTAGTTTCAAACATGCTGACTCATTAATACCTCTTCTTATTCTGTTTTCTCACTCTTTACTGCTTTAATGTCTAAATGTTTGTTTTTCTGCCTTCCTTATGAATTTTAATGCAGTTCTTCCACAGCAGCTTCAGTTCTTAATAGTTGTTTTCCTAGTAGCTCATCTGCATGATTTTTTTCTTTGGTTAGTGAATAAATATGTCCAAATATCTTTCCAAAATCTCCTCAAAGTTCATATAAATCCTTAAAGGTTTTCAATTCCCTTTTTAAAAAAACAGAATTTCCTAAAATGATGAGGCTGACTGTTTGTTTTTTGATTATTTGACATTTATCAGATTGTCATGTGCGAGTCTGCGTTGTTCAGTTTCTATTTGTGGAAGTGAATCATTGGTGTAACAAAAGAGATGTCCAAGGCCTTCAGAATCAGGTTTGTTGATGAATGAAAACATAAGAAATTAAAGAACACTCACCTTTCTCCGAGAATTTTAAACCAACAGAAAATCCCACGGGCAAGAATAATTCCAAAAAACTAAGCTCTGCCTCCTATCCTCTCACAAAAGATTAGAAATGTCTTAGAACAGACCAAAATCTTTGTCTTGAATTGGAATTTGTGTAAAAACACGGTGGTGGTGCTGTCATAATCTGGGCAGGAACCGCTCGTCATCGCAGCCCAGGTTTTGGACCGACAGTTTATTTTAGATGTATTTCTTCATTCCTTCAATAAACCTGTTGTAGAAAGAGCCTGAGGTGAGCAGTTCACACCCGAAACACTGACAGCCTGTTCTGGAGAGGAGAGCCAGCGGCGCCAAACAGCCAATCACAGGTGTCTTTGTTTTCACGTGCTGTAAATATGCCGTTGTGTAAGAATCTTCTTACCTTTAAGGTCAAAGCTGTCCAACATGTACAAAGCATGTGTGTCTTGCATGTTCTTGCCGTTGTTGACTGGCACAGCTGGTCGGCCATCTTTAAACGCAGTGGGCCGCTGGCTGACACACATCAGCAGAGCCCCGACTGTCACGCTGGCAGCCGAGACGCTCGGTGCCGACGCATTCCAAAGCTCTGAGGTCATGGTATGCGAGCGCCCGGGGCCTTTGTTTGCAGCCCTTGTGCAAAAATATTGATTCAAAGATTAAGCAGTGAGACATGATTCACATGGCCGGTTGTCACATGTGTCTCTGGGACATTTTGTGAATTTGCAAATGAAGGCAAAATTGAGTACAAGAGAAAATCAGGAGGCTTTGCATGTTGGATTCATTTGGAATAACTACTGAGGCAGAAGACCTGCACGTTTGAGGAGGTGAATCATGCTGCTATTTGCCTGCTGAAGTCATCTCAAATCTAAGAGTAACTCTCTTTAAAATGCTGTGACAAATGCTCGGTGGTGCGTCACAGATGTAGCAGCGCGTGCTCTTTTTATTTGTGCTCCAATCGCTTCTGGATATGTGTGCCTTGTATTTTTCTCTCCTATTATTCTTTTTCTTTAGACAAATGCAAACACAAAAAAACAATCCAATCCAGCCGATAGAACCCAGCTAGTGAAAACTGAAGCCTATCTTTTGCTCTTTTTTTTTGCATTTGTTTCCTTCATTTTAATTCATCCAAGCAAAGTGTGTGTGTTTTTTTTCCCTCCAGTCTGCCAGTCTCTGTGTCCCTTCTTTTGATAAGCAGCTGCTGTTTTGCTTTCTCAGGCCTCCTTTCTCTCTTTCTCTCAAGCTGTGACCTGCTCTGCCAGTAGACTATAATACTTCCCGTTTTGACTCCCAACAATAAGGGAGATACCTACTGATCCCATCTGGTGCCAGGTCTTTGTGAAAGTATCAGTGAAGGGGTTACGCAGACCTGTCTAAACCCAGCCTGTAAGTCCTCCTCCCACACACACACACACTGTGTTTTCAGTGGCACAGCTGGCATGCTCTTCTGGGAGTCACCCAAACTGGCATCCCGCTTATCCATGCGGGGGCCTCTCACAGCAGCTGTCAGCCCTTTGTAGGTGGCAGTGTGTGTCTGGAATGACTGACTCTCGGAGCATGTGGCTCCACAAAAGCGTGTTCCGCCACGCCTATCGGCGTACAGCATCTCCGGAGAGTGTAAGCAAAACTCTGGAGTCGCGCGGGCCTTCATTTCCGAGCATCACAGCTGTGATTGTGTATTTTATATTCAGTTCACTCCCTTTTCCACATATGAAAATAAAAATAAGAGCCAACTTTCCTGCTTTGCATTAGACTCCGCTCGTGGTACAGATCATCAACAGCTCTGGAGATTTCCATATCAGATAGGCATCGATCCTGTTGCCGCATCAGTCTTTAGGCGTAATAAACACCACTTACCGACTTTATGTTCCATTTGCTGCTTTGAATTGCTGTTTGAACTGCCCGCCTGTTGTTCTGCCCCGTGGAAATATGTTACATTTTTTCAATGACTCAAAACATGAATTCATTCTTGTATTTGTTTTTTATTTTTTGTTGTTGTTGTTTTTGTGGAAAAGATGACTCCGAGTTATGTTTTCATGCAATCCCTCGTTGGATTGTCAAATGAGGGATTAGCTCAGTGGGAGCAGTCCTCTCCTCGCTGTTTTGACGCCGTTCCAGTCAACCAGTGACATTATGTAACAGGCAGAATGGTTGTGCCCATTTTTATTTAAGATTTCTATCAAATTTACCATTAAAAGAGCTGTTGGTGTGTAAAGTGTGCCGTAGTCACCTTTAGGAATCAGCAAGGACAGAAAACAGTGCAGTTTTAGTGCAGCCCTCGTATGTTTTTTTGTCAGATTGATTTAGAAATTACCACAAATGTTTTAGTTGGAACTCATGCTGATGTAGCTGTGTTTCTCATAAATGAACACCCCCCAATCCCGGTCGTTAAACTCACCATTCGTGCAGAAACATCCACAGATGCTTGGAGGGAATCACACTGTGTTTAAGCCGTGACTAAAACAAGCCCAACAAGGTGTTGAACATATCATTTGCCTAAATAACTAAAGCAAAGCGGCAAATGGCTGTGGGAGTTCCGGTGCGTCTGTAGCAGGTCATCCTGGTCTTTGGCTGGACTGACTCACGTCTCCGCTGACCCCCACCTGCCGCTGTATCTCTGCCCATCTGCGAGCACCCGGTAGCCTCCAGCACTGATCCTTAGCTCCCGTCTTCATTAGTGCCTGGACATCAGCTACTCCTCCTCAGAGACAAAGCCCACTCTGCCAGACCCCCCCCCCTCCGCCTCAGGCCTTTCTGTGCGCTTCATTATTGTGTCTGTTTCATGACCCCTCTTTTAATCTGCTAATGTGGCGGGCTTTATGCACTGATTGGTTTTTCTCTAACGCTGCTTCCACAGACTCCCCTTTCCTCACTAATTACAGGACACAATTCAGCCATGTTCCTCTCTGTTTCGTCCGTCTTAAAACGTCCCCCCTTTTGCTTGCAAAGTTTTCGCCCGCGCTCCTCGCCCCGTGTCCCCTCTCACCCGCTTGTCGGCCTCCAACAGAACAACGACAACGAGACGCCGCTGCACTGCGCCGCCCAGTACGGCCACACCCGGGTGGTGCGGCTCCTGCTGGAGGAGCTGACCGACCCCACCATGAGGAACAACAAGTTCGAGACCCCGCTGGACCTGGCTGCGCTCTACGGCCGCCTGGAGGTGGTCAAGCTGCTGCTCACCGCCCACCCCAACCTGCTCAGCTGCAACACCAAGAAGCACACGCCGCTGCACCTGGCGTCCCGGAACGGACACCTGTCCGTGGTGGAGGTGCTGCTGGACGCCGGGATGGACATCAACTACGAGGTTGTTGTTGTTTTTTTTCCGTAAATAAGTGTTCATTCTTAAATGTGCTTGTTAACCTTAAAGCTTCCGTTTCCATATGTTTCTTAATACGCTGTTATGGCTTCAATCGTGAAGGGTTACTTAATCTGTCCTTGCAGCACTTCCTCCTGCCACTTCCTACCCACACTACGAGATTAAATGTAAAACTCTTAAGCTGTCGTTTTGCATAGGAACCACTGTGGCATCAAAGCGGAGCCGGCCTTGCTCCCCCTGGTGGACCCTCAGGCTCCGTCCCAGTATCTAACCGTGCCTTCCATCTGTCTGGATACTCTCCCCTCCCTTATTCTGCCCTCTTTTCCTTTAAATGAAGGATGTGGACTCTAGACAGCCTGCTTCAGGCCTTGCATCCTGCAGGTTTCAATTAACATGGCCCCGTGAGCCCGGGCATGATCTGCTTTAGGTCCCCCAACCGCATAATTGCCAGAAAAGATGCAGACCGGGTGGTGGGCGCAAAATGTGATTGTTACCAAACGCTGGTTATGCTGGTCATGTGCTGGTTCTGTGTGTCATTTAGCTGCATGGTGTGGGCTCCGTTTCACTTTGACTCTTGTGATCTTTTCAGACAGAGAAAGGCAGCGCCCTCCATGAAGCCGCCCTTTATGGGAAGACGGACGTGGTGCAGAAACTCCTCAGTGCAGGTCAGTAGCTGCTCCCAGCATGTGGGGATAAGAGGTCACTTTTTTGTTGCTGTTATTTTGTGTTTTTTTTTTTGCTCCTGGAACACTCGACTGCTGCTTGTTCACTGTTCCCGTTTCGTTTCTCAGGTATCGACGTGAACATCAGTGACCAGAAGGGTCTGACAGCGCTGGACACTGTCAAAGACATGCCCTCCCAGAAAAGCCGAGAGATCGCTGCTCTCATTCTGGGTAAAGATTCAACATTCAAACAGAAGGCCGCTGTAGAAACCACTTATTTAAACAGCGCTGATAAAAATCTGTCATGCGTTGCAGGTCACATGACTGGTAAACCCCCTGATATTGACCTTCCCCCTCCTCCCATCCCTCCACCAATGAGTCCCAGTCCAAGGAAGAAGGGTGAGACTTGATGTCCACAGTTGGACTTAGTTAGACTAGAGAACTTGTTTGTATGTGTATATTTCTGTAGTTATGCATGCTTTTTTTTTTTTTTACATTTTTCGTCATTCTAACTTGTTTTTTTTAGGTGAGATGGAAAAGGTGAGTGAGCTCATCTCAGGTCTAGCTCCAGGGCCTGAGGAGGAGAGCCCCTATGAAGCTCTGTGCGAAGCCATTTCTTGCCACTCCTTGGACAGCGTCACCAGCGGGAAGTCCTCCGACCGGGACTCGGGACGGCCCGACAGTGAAGCTAGCAAGGTCAGCAGAAGCTACACTGAAACTCACCCACACTCATACACAGGACAAAATAACCTGGGCTCCCATTTACAAAACCCTTTGCACGTCACCTTCTTTATGGATCACACAAAGTTTGTGAGCCATAAAGAAAAAGTCATCATCAAGATATCCCGGCCCATGATGATGACTGGCTCTTACCAGTATGAATAACCCAAAAAGTAGCCTGAAGTCACCTTTAGAAACAACATTATTCTGTAAAATGATCATCAGGTCTGGGATATTGGAGCCTGGATGGCTCTGTTGATATGACCGGTCGATGCATCAGATTTCCGGTGGGGCACAACGTGGGAGAACAGGCCAACAATAAGATGGAGTTCGAAGCAATGTCCATTTTCCTCTTTTTTTCAAAAGTAATCGGCATAAAAAAGCGTAACAACGCTTAGCCTCGTACAACAAAATCATGTTTTTTCCGACTCCCCACCTCATTTACCGACACATGGATCTCGGCCTCAGTGATATTGTGCTTGTTTCCCCTTTTCTCCGTGGTCACCATGGTTGACCATGAACTAACATTGATCAGCTGGCTCATTTATAACACCCACACTGACGAGGTGCTTTGCTTTGACCAGCCACGGCGTGTAGAGGGCAAACGCTGAGGTGCAGCTGGACGATTGCATGCTGATGTGTGTGTGTGTTTATGCACGGTTTGATAAAGCTGGATTTTTTTGTTTGTTTGTTTTGGCACATACCATTTTCATTTTCAGTGTATATACACTTTTAGTAAAGAGCCTATGCAATGTTTCAAAAATGAGTCCCCCCAGTTCCTTATATTTTCTGTGCTGGAAGTGAAAAGCCTAATCCCCACTAGAGGGAGTCAGCTGACCATTCAGCGTCGGGTTTGACTCCAGACGATTTTCCAGCGTCAGCCGTTATGGTGCTACAGAGAGGGGTTGTGGTGCATCTCTTTGTCGGGATCGTACGATAAGAGAGAGAGAGAACGACGAACCACTATTAATTTATTTCACGGATGATCATTTACAGAAAGATCGTCTTGTCCACTCAGCTCACCCTGGTCCCGGTCACGAGGAGGAGATGAGCTCAGAGGTAAAGTGACGAAGCCACAATAACTTCTCCCAGCTGACACCGCAGATTCTCGCGGGTGTCATCGCATAAATCTGAAGCCTGTCTATGTTCCTAAAAGAGACGGCGGCTGTCAGATTAAAGATTGTGTGTCAGGGACAACAGCAGGTTTTCTTTGCTCCAGCCCATTTATCAGTGTTCTCCTCATGGGTGTGTCCTGTTCTCATGACTGCTTACTGAGCAGCAGGGGGCGTGTTTGGGGTGGTACAAAACCTTGGCTGACCCCAGAGAATGCCAAAACAGAATGAATCATAGAATAGTTTGAGCAAAGAATGCTAAACAGTCAGTCCTCCCCACTCCTGTGCTTTCATGTCCCTGTATTTATGTATTTTTTCCCCGGCAGGCCTTGTACACGAGCAGCAGCATCGATGAAAGGGGAGAGCCGGCCGAGGAAGAGGAGGACCACACGTACGAGCTGTTGCTGACCGCCCAGACCAAAGTCCCGCCGCCCAGCCACGAGTCCCAGTCCAGTAAAGGTAATTTTCCGCTGCTTGTGAACTCTACAGGGAGGAAGCTACTGGAAGATAAAGTGTACTTTCCCCAAATTTGTTAAATGAAAGTACTTCTTGGTAAATTAAGGTGACTTCATCATCTTTCTCCATTAAAAGTTAGTTGGAGCCCTGCCCTGATTCTCCATGGACCAAACGGACCCAATTGGATCTGCATTCAGATCCGGGGCCCTTCACACACGGTCCAGTCCTCCCTTAACTGTTGGGCACAGGATGTAACTGGGTTGAATTGGATTAAATTGAAAGGTCATTTTGATCCCAAGCTGTTGGCGAGGTTTTTAAAACCGTCCCATTGGGGACCCCCGTGGCTTAAACTGCTCCAGCAGAGGTTAGGGGGCAGGAACGTTTTCACAATGAAGACAAATGGCCGTGTCCAAAAGGATGAATCACTCGTTTGTTTTAGTCTTGGGTAGAAATGTTAAATGATTAGTGTTTTATCTGTTTCTGAACAGCTTTGACGTGTCTGCACACACTCTGCTGTTAAACAGACAGGAAGATGAATCTCAGGCTGTCTGATGTGCAGACTCATAATGTCACCATGCATAAAACATGCTTTCATTAGAAATCACTGTGTCATTCGCAGTGTAATGTCTCCACTGACGATCAGAATAGACTGAATAGAATAGAACTCCTATTCTAACCCTTTTGTTTTCCCTCTCCCTAGATGACTATACCACTGCACCATCTTCCAACAGTGTTCTACCTCAGGTACCAGTATTCTATCTTTTACTCGTGCATGAATAGTCAACCTTTTGTTATTTCAATAGCAGTTGAATCATGCTTTTGTCACACAAACAAAATGTAACGGCGACCAGTAGAACCAGGGGATTTTGTTTCCTCTTCCGATAAACGGCTAGGAAGTAAAATCCGACCGCTTTTACAGAAGTTGCCAGATCCAAGGAGAAACATTTCTCCAAAACGGAAGGCAAAATTAGCATGCTCAGCACAGAGTTTTACATAATTTGGTTTGTATCCACCAGTCGCTGTGTGACTGAGATTCTTTTAGTTCTTAATTAGGAGAGTTTATTTGATGAGTACAAAGATCTCTGATATGTTAAAGACCCATCTCTGTTCATATTCACCCATTTGTACTGAGGGTTTAGTTATTTTATCATAGCTCTACAATCTTTATGTTGGACTCAGAAGCTGCTTTGAGGAGGTCATGGTTTCTGAACATTTGGGTAAAGCTTTACACTTATAAAGGTGTTTTAACCTTTTGTTTAGGTGATTGGGTACATTCCACAGCCCCAAATACTATTTGAGGCCTGAGATTTATTTTTGTAATGATATAAGATCACTGTTTCCTTTGGGTAGCCACATTTTCACTTTACACTTCACACTTTACAGAAACACACACTAAACACTGACCATGCTTAAAAAAGTGAAAGAAACTCATCTAGATGCTTTTTTAAAGATCATACTGTTGAATAATAATCCCCCTCAGGGCCAGAGACTGAATCATATCCCCAGATAAAGGAAAAGACATCTTAAACCAGTGGCCATAACTGTACGACTTTATAAAGCTGCCAGCTCTATTTATAGCCACAGTCTTACTTGATTACATTCTCATATCTGTTATTCACTTAGCAGCTTTTGTCATTGTGGCAACACTAATAAAACCCTCTCTGCCCCCCACTGTCTTCACGTAGGGAAAATGCACGGTCACTGGCAAGCCTCTATGCACTCATTGTTTGGCTGGACGGGCGATTACTCTGTCTCAATAATTGGCTAACTAAGAAAGCAATTAGCATTAGCAAATGCTGACACGAGTGTCTGTTAACAGAGGAGCTGCTCGGTGGATTAACAGCTTTGAGCTAACTTATTGTTCCTCCCTCTTCAGCGCAAACCCAGTGCCCCTCCAAACGACCTCCGAGCCCCAAGTAAGATGAAAGACAGTCTGCACCCTCCTGCACGCGTGCCCCCCCGGGCACCCGGAGGTGAGTCCTAAGATTTTAGTTTCCTAATAAGGTTCAACAATCAGCAGCTGGTACTGAGGGGAAAGACGGACTGGAAAAGTTTGGAACGAAAGTCACGGGCCAACTATGTTGATGAAATAGGAGCGATGCGTTTGAGTTTGATGCGTTTGAGATGGGTGGACTTGGATCAAGCACGCCAGGGGAATGCACGATTGGCATTCCCAGGCGGAGCAGAGCAGCTCCGGCCCGTCGGGAGCAGGCTCATTGACGTTCTTTGGCACTGGGACGACGTGCATTTCACCACCAATATGAAACTGAATTCTTGATCAGATTGTGACATTCCTGTCTTTGAGCCACATCCCTGCTTAAAGCTGGATGTGCCACCTCATCCAGTGAAGCATGAAGCAGAGATGAGCGCAGCTCCAGGATTTTTGCTGCCTCGCACACAGATTTCTTTGTTGAAATGCACTTTAGTGATGATAGCGGTTGCTATTTTAGCATGATCGGATCATAGTTTTGAAGATTACAGTTTTTTTTTCCCCCCCTGCATTTTGATACAGACAAAGAAAAACTAAGTAGATACTTCCTGCTTTTAAAGGGCTATAGAGGGAGAGTGTCACTGAGGTAGTGCTGGTTTTTTGATTAGCAGTACTCTGTAGCCTCTATACTCCACCACCGAGTGCTCCTGTTGAAAAGGGAACTTTTTTTTGTTGCTATTGTTTTGATGAGCTGGGGCGCTTCAGACCAACTGCACCCGATGGATCTGAAGGAGAGACAGACAGATATCTCATTTTTGGAAAGAAAGCTTCAGTAATCATTTCCAGCTGCTCAGAACTGCTTCTTCTCTTTTTTTTTTTTTTACCAGATGTGTTTGCTTAAGTCACCACAGTTGCTGTCAATGTTCCATAATTCTACGTTCGTTTTATACATTTTCTTCCCCCTATGATAACCAACTGGCTTTCAGCACAGGGATCGTTATCTGCCTCCGTTTTGGAAATATCCTCGTGCCAATAGCATGGCCCATTCTCCGCAGTACCTGATCCCGACAGCAGAAGCTGACTTTAAAAAACAGGCTGAACTGCAGTTGACTCTGGCTGTGGCAGACGGCTGACTGACAGCCAGCACTGAAAACCAAACATGACATCAGCGGGGAGATATTAGCCCGACGCGTCCCCCCGCCAAACAGAAAACACGGCCCGCCTCTGTGGTGACATCAGCCGCTTTTTAAGAGTCGCCACGCCACGGGGTCGAGCAGAGAGAGAGGGGGGGGGGTCTCTGCAGGGGTGGACTGCGTGGGATGGCTGGAGCTACATTAGATGTTCTCATAGGGCGTTCACACTCCCCAGCTGCCAGGGAGCGCGGGGGTGTTTGGCTGTGATCTCCACATATGTGTACAGTACACTCACTCACCCACCATAACCCTCTGCCACACACACACACACACACTCATTTTCTGCCAGTCCGAGTGTTTTTCCCCTAGCGAATTCTGGGCGTTGTTTGGTTTACTCCCGCGCCGTAAATGGTCCCTGAAATGTCAAAGAGGCAGTTTTGTGAACTCCTCCACAGCCCCTCACACCCTCCCGATGTTTTCTTGCCCACACGGCTGCGTGTCTTTTGCATGAAGCCGTTTTTGTGAAGGACAAACAAAAGCCTGGTAACAGGTCGTCCCTTCCCTGCCCCGTCGCTGTCCTAGATTCCCTGTCACCGAACACCCTGACCCCGCCACCCTGGCAGAGGCTGTCCGCACACACACACACACACAAAAGAAAAACACGTGCATACACAGCCCTACCCCATGTGTCACAGGACTAATTATCAAGAGTCTGGCTGCTGGAGGGACGGGGTGATTCAAATTTCCATTCCTGAGCCACCGTTAGGGTCTAGAATTAGAAGCCAGAGGACACTGGGGGGCTGCTGGTCACTCGGCAGGCAGCGGCACGCATCGCTGCAGCAAGAATCCAGACAACTGCTAAGCTCGGCTCAGGGTTTTGGTGTCGGGAAGCCAGTGCACAGATGAGAATTCACTCCGTCTAGCTGCGGCTGATTTGATAGTGGAAAAGAAGCTTAGGTGGCTGCGGTTCCGCCGGCAGAGGGAGGAGGAAAATCTTAATTGTTTCCCATTGCACCTCACTCTCTTTAAGGACCCGTTTGGTCGGAGAAGGCTCCCTGTGTAAGTTTACCCACTTACTATTGTGTGTTTGTCCTGTTCTGTAGCTACGCTTATGTAATATTTGCTCACCTGAGAGTTTATTCAGTACCTTTGGGGGAATTGTTGATGTTTTGTCATGTCGAGAGAAGAGTCTGAAGAGCGCTGTGGGCCCTGGGAGGAGAGGCTGCTCACAAGCATGACTTCAGCTCCACGTTACAAAACACAGGCACCCTCACACAGCCGTCAGATGGCTGCAGTCTGGGCTGGAATTTAGGTATTTCTCCAGCCAACAAACGCCCTTTCCTAGCTCCGTCTTTTCTCTCCCTCCGCTTCCCTCCGTCATTCCTGCTAGGAAACAATTGCAGATCTGTTTCCAGGCATGTGTGGGTGGTTTCTTATTAGCCTCGCTCCAAGTCTCTGCCCCTCACATGGAAGCGCGCTTCCCAGCGTCAAAACTTATTTTCCCTTCCTAACGGACCACCTCTCTGTCCTCTTTTTCCCCAGACAACTCCCAGCTGAGCCAGGATCAGGGAGCAGGTGTCCCGGAGCAGTTCACCGGCCTCCTGCACGGATCCTCTCCCGTCATCGACTCCCGTGAGGACCTCTTCAGGCTCCCGGGGGTCCTGCCGCCAAAGCAAGAGCAGCCAGAAGCAAAGAAGTCAGTCAAACCCGTGCAGGCGGCCAAAGCGGCTTCCCCGACGCCCGCCCGCCCCAGCATGGCCGCCATCCTGACAGACTGCGACCCCAAAGCCATCTATGCCACTGTGAACAAGGAGCCCAGGGACTCGGGGGCCGGGGCCGGCGTTCGCATGCGCCCCCCCGGGGACCTGAAGCTGGCGCGCAGCCTCTCCAAGTCCGACTCGGACCTGCTGGTGTCGCCTCCTAGTGAGGAGGAAGGGGGACTGGGAAACCGCAGCGAGTCCGTTTCTAACTGCAGCACCGGCAAGAAGAGGCTGGAGAAGTCCCCCTCCTTCACCTCCGAGTGGGACGAGGTGAGTGCTCACTTTCACACTCACAGACGCACAACACTGTCATGTAAACATGTGGCCGTTTTGTCTTTGTGGTGGATTGAACCAGTACGCTTTGATTTACTCCCTGATGTACACTGCAGTACTAAAGTGGACTTTGACTGTGGATTAGAGAATGAGATTTGAGTCTTTTTTTACATGTAATTGTTTAGGACTCTATTTTCTCCAACGCTTATTCAATGCAAAGCTGATTATTTACTGCAAACGGCCGCTAACTTCAGGACAGACAGCCTTGTTCTTCTATCACCTGGAAGCCACCTGTTGTCTCTAAAATGGGGGGGAAGAGGGGGGACACTGGACAGCAAAAACCCACACCAGACACAGCACCTGATGAAAAATATGCCGTATAGTTGCGCATTTGCTTTTGTGTTTATCAAAAACGTAACTTTGCCCAAAACTTCTCCGTTATGCTTCCTCATTCTTTGCCCGGTGGATATTCCCAACTAAGTATATCCCGCTCCCATTCAGCATTTATATGCTTTGTCTGGACATGGATGAGGAGCTAAATGGAGCCGCAGTGAAAGGAGATTAGAGAGGACAAAAAGACGGGGATAAAAACGACAGGGAAGCTGAAAGAACGAGACGCGAGAAAGAGATTTGGGAGCTGGGAGCTCAGAGGGAAAGTGGAAGCCGCGGCTCCGTCTGTGCTCCTTTCCTCTCCTCTGAACGCAGAGACTGTAACGTGAGCCTCTGCAGGAACAGGCGACCAGAAAGAGGACGCAGAAAACATGCTGCCGTATAAACACGGCATTTAATGAAAAAATAGAAGTCTCATTTCCTGTCTTCGGTCGTCCGTGCTTTTTGGAATGCATCTTTTTCTTTTTTTTAAACCTAATACGGTGCTTTATTGTTTACAGGTAAAGAATTGAATAGCTGACATGCTTTCAGGCAGCAGCAGAAAACGATGTGTTTAAAGCTACAGTTAATATTCAGCTTAAGCTGTCCAATGAAGTCCACACGACATGACGTTATCGGGACGACCAATCAGCCATGTGCCTTTTATGAGGTCGATATCTTAGCTGCTGTGGGGAATTATTTGGATGCAGTGTTGCTAGGGTTTCACATGCCATGAACTGTTCCCACTGTGATGGTGTTTTTCTCTCCCTTCTCTATAATTTGGACTCCCACATGCAGCTAAACCCCCACATTTTTGTTGTTGTTGCAGTGTTTGACATGTCCATGTACTGTATAATGTCTTTTTTGTTGACATTATTTAGAAATGAGCTAATCAACATGAGCATGTTGCTAACAGCTACTAGTGATGCACCATAGGAAGAATAACCTCAGTAAGCTGGTGAGGTGCGAACTACTGTATAACCCTACTCTTCCCAAATAGCTTAGCCCTTTTTTTTTTTAGGATTCACAACAGTCCAGGCATCAGCGGGGTTAAAAATAAAAAGGGAGCAGCTTTGTTTCTGTAAGCCAAACGTGGCCGCATTGCAGAAATGCAATGTGTTATTCTAATCTTTCGGATTAGAATTAGAAGCAGGAAAATAGCCTGGTGTGGTGGCAGCCAAACAACCAGCTCTGTTGCCACCTAAAAAGAAAACTTAGTCATTGCTTCCGAGGCGTCGCGCGGCTTTGTCATCGCGCTGAGTAATAAGGTCAAATAAGAGATGGGCTTTGTGTGCTTGAACCTTTTTTATCTCCCCCTCAAAGTGTCGGCTCTCTGACAGGGCACTGTACGGTCTAATTATCCAGCTTCACGAGCACCGCTCCTCCTCCCTCTGCACCGGAGGGGATGTGCCCTCCGGGAGCGTGACAGGATTAAGGCAGCCGTGTCATTAGTTGCTTATTGGAGACCGCCGCTCCTCCCAGATCCCCTCTGCGACAGTCACAGAGGGCTGCCAGCTTTCCCCCCGGCTCTGGAGGCCAGCGGGCCGGGCAGGAGCGGCGGGCCGTGGCAGGGGGAGGAGCCGGGGCAGCAGGTATCAGTGAAGGGCTTCTTCTCACTGAAGAAGATGTTCCACCAGAGAGAGAGAGAGATCTCATTTGCAGTGCACACTGTTACCAGTTTTGAGTTCACCTGAATGCCTAAAAGCACCCATTAAAGTATGATTTGAGCCCCCTTTGTTTACTCTTTCCCTCTGAGTGCATTTATCTACTCTCCACGTGAGTCAGCAGCACCGCTGAATCATTTGGGATTACGATAACAATGCAGTCCACCCTTAATTTGGGATAGTTTCTTTTCCCGTCCCAGGTTGTCAGTGCTGTAACCGGTGTGTTGCTCATGTCTCCTACGTGCTCAGGCTCCTCCGTCGCAGGGCGCCGGCTGTATTTGTGTGTGAAAGAGCCTGTCAGCTAGACTAATACATCTCGCGTTTACGCATGGCAGCAAGTCTGAATTTGAAATGTACAAGCCTTAAGCTGCAATGTGCAAAATTTAAGCCTTCCGCCTGTAAGAGGATGCTTTTAAGAAGCGGGCTGCAGTGGTTAACTCTGTCCTCTCTGGTGGCAAAGACACTATCGTCTTCTTTTCCGTCCCTTTTAACATCTTAAAGGTGGGTGTCATGTATACAGTCAATTGTTTATTGTTTTTTTAATTTCTCACTAGACAGGAGATTCAAATGTCTGAGTTTTGGCACTCAAAACAAAAAGCAAGAGCCTCCAATCCTTCTTCTCTTATTTTCCGAAGATTTCCCTGCACCGTCTTCCAAAAAACGGTTTGAGTATCATTTTCCTTTTATAGCTCCACCACAGCAGCCATTATAACTCTGTCTGCAGTGAGTCCGTGAGCTGCTATGACGGCCATCTTGCCGGTCAGCGCTCTAGAGCACTCTATAGAGATGCTTGACAGCATTTGGGGGGTCCAAGTACACCACCGACCCATCCTCCACCTCCTCCCCCCATTTGCCCTGCCACTCATCCTTTTCTCTCTCTTTATTTGTTTTCAAAATAAACACCTTTTTTTCTTCTCTTAGTCTGGTTAGGGAAAAATGTTCCAGTTCTCACACACACTCTTCCCTTCTCTTTCTATAGCTGTCCCGCTCCTTCTCCTCCTCCTTTTGGATGCTCTGCCTCCGGTTCCAAGACAAGGAGATTTGAATTGCATGAGGTCTTGGCCTATGCATCTCTCCATTTAAGGAGCTCGGGATGTGTGTGTGTGTGTGTGCGTGTGCGTGTGTGTGTGTGTGTTTTGTGTCGGCATGTAAAGCGCATGCTAATGTGGGCTGGTCCTCGCAATCAGACTGGAGATGACAGTCCTGGGGGCACGCTGTGTGGGCCAGCACTCCCAGAGAAAAGGAGACACAGAGCTCCAGACAGAGACAGAGGGACAGGGCCACTATCCGCTTCCCCTCTCCACTTTTTCCACTTCACTTTCGATTTGCACTCCACAGATCCTTTAGCCACTATGAAACCGGCTTTTGTGAGTATTGATTGCCTTCCTGGCGGCGGCTCCACAGGGGGCTTATCTATCTTGTCCACCTGAATGAACTGAATGAGGAAATAAGTCATGTTTTCCTGCTTTTCTGTGGATTTTACAATTCCTTTTAAACCTTTTTTTCCCTTTTCTTTTTACTGTTATGCTCTCGTTTAATTGGTAAGCATCAGGATGAAGCAAATGCCTCTCCTTCGCTTTCCTCCGTATTTTAGCATCTCCCACTGAAAGTAGGCATAGTTCGTATTCAATTATCAGTTTGGTTCTTAGTTTGGTTCTGTTGTGTAATTGTGTAATTGGCTCTTTGCTGCTTTTGTGTAGTTTTTATCAGGTGGTAGTTTAAGAGTGCTCCGAGCTGCTGGGAACAAACCCCGCTGTGGTGTGGGTGTGACCGTGCAATGTCTGGACTCCCTGGACTCCCAGCAGAGGGAGGACCACAGGTGACCAGGACACAGCTCAGAGTCCAATCTTTAGCTAATGCAGAAAGGGGAAGTGTGCGGGGTGGGGTTCCTTGTGGTTTCAAAATTGGACGAAGACGTTCCTCTTACTTGTTAGTTGGATCCATGATAGTGTGTCCTGTGGGGATGGGTTCACAGGGTTCCTCTGGCTCTGAGGGAGCCGCTGTTGCTCAAACAGCATGCCTGACATTGGGGCTCTTTAGGGGCGTGTTGATGCCGCTGCTGACAGGGCTTTGTCCCTCTGTGGCATTGAGGTGCTGGCACCCTCCTCAGAAAGTGTTTGTGTTCCCCTTGATTCCATTCACTCGTTCGCGGTTTTCGGCCAGCCCTCGTTTTGTTGCCAGCTTGGCACTTTGAGGGCCGGTGGTCCGGGCACGCTCTCCTCGCAGCAGCCTTTTTATCCCACCCCGAGCTCCCTGTGCCAGCCGGCCTTTAGCCCCCCCACCGTGGCTTTTCTCGGCTTTATTTGCATGTCGTTCGGGGTTCTCCGAGCCGCTAATGAAAAGAGACAGTTTCAAGTCCAGTTTTTTTATTTTATTATTGGACATTGAGTTATTCCGCACAGTCCTCACGGAGCAGCGGGCCTGCAGGGAAACGGAGTGATAAATGGGTCCCATCTTCCCCTCACCACCTCTCACCACGGCCGGCTCCTCAGCCGTTGACCTCCACCCCGTCAGCGACTTCTGACCCGCCTCTTTGTGTCTCCCCACTCATGCTGGGTTCAGATAACAATGGACGCTTCCATTTAAGGCCCGTATTGATTCAGTCCTGCAGCAGAAAAACCCATTCCACCCTCTCCTCTCTATTAATCTTCCCAGCTCCGAGTGTTTTAGTCCTGAACCATAAAATACAGTTTGCTTGTTTGTTTTTTTTTTTCTCTCTCTTGCTATGGATGTAAATTTTTATGGTTCATATCTCCCGATATGGATTACCCGGCCCCGACACTACATCACGCCTGCCTTTCATGCTAGCTGCCCCTGAATCACATCGGACACTTTCCATCAAACTGTGCGGGAGAAGCCGGCACGCCGAGACATATACACACCTGCACGTAGTTTATTTTTGCATTTGTATGCAGATTTTGTGGATTCAGGCCAGTTATCATCTCTCTCCTCTCACCCACAGGCGTCTGAGGCTGTCAGAGACTTGTGTTGCACGGGTGGCAACCAGGAGGGAGAGTTTTAAAACCTCTGTTTGAGTGTTAAGTCACATTGGTGTGTCAGATGTGAAGGAATAAACCTGCTATTGCACATTAGAGTAGGGTCTGGGCTCTTTACTGCCCCGGCGATGGCTCCATCAGGTCCTTCAGCGCAGACCGCGGACGCTTTATGACACCCAGCCCTGCTTTGCCCTCATTAACTTGGCCTCATTAATTTGTGACTGCTCTGTTAGTGTCTTACCTCACAGTGTGGACACTTCATTAACGCCAGCGCTCATTTGCAGCTATCTGGTGATTCAAGTTTTTATTTGAGCAACACGGACAACAACAAGCTGAATGTTTGAATCCGACCAGATAAAGAGACAGACGTACATTTAGAATCGGTTCGCCTAATTAACTCAAAATGTGGCTGGTTAGTTTTATCCTTGTCTTTGTTATATTTATGGGCTAAGCAGCTTCTAACTGTTGTTTTTAGATCAGGAAATGATGGCCTTCCCTAAAACAAAGCTTAGGTGTGTGTGGCCACCCCCAAAATGCTTGTTCTGAGTCTCTATAGGCTTGTTTTGAGTCCCATTTAGAATATTTTCTTTGTTTACTGTTGGTTGGAAATATAGTTTGAGGTTGTTTTCAACCTCGTAGCATTCCTGTTGAGCCTTTTGTTGGTTGCTGTGCATTTCTTTTGTACACATATGGTTCTACTTCAGCATCTGAGTGGTGGCCGTGGTTTTGTGTTTTTAAGGGTAGTTTTTTACACCATATTAGTGTATTTGTAATTGGCCTCTTTTTTTAAAAGTCACACATCTAGGATATGTTATTGTATCTCATTTCGGTAACAGTTTCAGTAACTGATACTTACTTTACCTCCATTTATTGAACCTCCCCTGAAACTGAACACCCCCACACACACACACAGACCCAAATATACACATGCTTTGAAATATATGTAGATTTAGATTTAACCAGATAAAGGGTATGACAAAAGAAAACGACAGTGATAAATAGATTGACATTTTGGCGAGGTTTGGTTTCTGAGCATTTGTCATCGGCTCTGTCATATTAAAGTGGATTATTCAGTGGTAGCCATATGCCATGCGGTGCACCCACTGGGCGTAATTATTTTCATAATGGATGTTTTGTACAGTCGGATCGTCATTGATTAACTTTTTTTTTGCTGCAGTGTCTACCTTAAATGACAGTAAACATGTTGGGTGTCTAATGTCTTTAACTTCTCATTTAAAACTTTACATTTTATGCCATGCTCACTTTTAAGGGGTTTTAGGACCATTATACTACCCTTCTTAAGTGTAGCTAGTACTGTCTGTGCATAAATCCTATTCAAGCTAAAAAAAACCAAAACATGTTTTTTCTCGGCAGACACAGATGACTTCAAAACGGAGAAGATCTAATTCCTTTGGCAGCGTAAGATGCCTGTGTTCACACCATTACCTGAATTCTCTTTGGGCTTGGGCTCTGTCCTTTTCTAGGGCATGCTTTGTAGAGGGAGTTGGGATCCTCTCAGGCTTTATAAGTGCCTTTGAAATGAAATAATCTTTATGAGTATTCATTTCTTGTCTGAATGAGGAGGTTTTGGTTTCTTATTAGATGTGTAGTCTGACAGGAGCATGCATTACTCTTCAAAGTCAAATTTCTCTCTCTGACCAGCAATTCTCTTGTAATTACCTCACGCACTAGTTCACTTTCAAAATTCCACACACTGATAGATTTGGAACAAATGTAAACTTTGGTTTCCTTGTAGCACTTTCTTGCATGTCTAGTTTAGCTATCAGGGACTTCTGATGTAGGAGCAGAACACATTTTGATAAGAAAGAGAAGCTCAGCAAGGCACCAGAAGCACCTATTCACTCCTATGTGGATTCATTCTGAAAAGGAAAAGAAAAATCTGAGTGACAGTAACCCGACACGCTGACAGCAGCCCTGTCAGTCTCTTCTTTCTCATTTGATTCGTTTCGAATATGTCCCGTTCTGGGCCAGTTGCAAAGACGAAGCCACGCTTCTGTGCTCTGACAGGAGGAACATTGCAGCTCCGGGGCCCACCCCTGTTTTTACCCCCCTCCTCCTACAAATCCACTTAAAGGGAATTGCAGTGTGCCGTCAGTGTCGGTTCACACATGTGCATGTGTACATCACATGGAAGTGGGTGACTGTTCTTGAAGGGATTGCTAACATGCACTGATTAGTGATGCAGGAAATGATTTCTTCCCATTATATGGGCATGTGGGTTCTCTCAAGTGTGGCTGATGCTCTTGCCTCTCAATATCTCGGACTCAGTCCTCTCTGTGGGTGAGAAGCCTCAGGTGCATTGAAACTAATGTTTTAGGGAACAAGAAGCAGCATCGGCTCAAGTGTGAGACAGTGACACTTGACTGTAACACACTATAATAAATGTGTATTTGCATGTCCTCTGTGTATCTGTGTGGGATTTTCCAGGTCTTTACGTCTCCTAATGGACCTTTCGCTATGTTAGGTTAACTGATTACTGGCTGTGAGAGTGTGTGGGGGCTGGTGGGGTCTGTGTCTTCGTCATCCTGTGATGAACTAGAAGCCGACTGCAATTTAGGCACCAGCTCCACTGAGTAATACGCCATGATAAGAAAGTCTTCTGCTGGCAGATGGACGAAATGGGATAACTTTGACACTTATCAGTGTTTTTCTTTTCCTTTCCTCAGATCGAGAAGATCATGACACTGATTGGAGCCGGCATCGATTTTTCCCGAGACCAGCAATATGCTACACCAGGTAGAGTATGATTGTTGCTGCCTGTGCGGTTTGACGTTTTGACGTAGTATTTAGCTCACTGCCATTCATTGTTTTAGATTAATAAAATGTATTATGAAAGTTTGTATTATCTAAATTTCCAAATTTGTTTTCATGTATATTCACCATTGACCAGCCTTCTGTGGTGCTTGACATGATGGACGCTGGACTTTGGATTTAATTATTTTAGGGTAATCTAAAGATGCTTTAATATGAACTCCAATACGATTAGGAATGAGGAATGAGGAATGAATTAAAAAATAAATGTCTTTAGGAAAATATGGAAATTGTGATAAATGTGGAAATATTTAGATTATTTTCATAGAATTTACTATGTTTGGAAAGAAATGGGGAAATTTCTGGTATTTTTCTAGATTGCTTTTGTTTTTCACCGGTTTGAGAAAAGGACTCCATAGTTGCCCAAAGTGGTTAAAGCAAGAAAGAATTTGGTAAAAGAAAACCTTCTGACAATAACAATATTGAAGTATATTATTCCATTAGGAAATAATGGAATAAGGACAGTTAAGTGACAAAAAATAATCTATTTCATGATATCATCAATTAACCATGAATAAATTCCCTTTTTTACTATTTTCCTTTCAAAATTACATCTGAGAGTACTGATTATTTCTCCATGTAGAACCCCAGAGTGTGAGAGGTATTTGGTTACGTCCTCTGTTGTGCTTAGGCATTCTGTACCTGTCCCCCTGTGATTATTCAGAGCTTTTCAAGCGCCTGTTGTAAAGGTTGATGAATGGTTCCTGGCGACTGTAGCGCTCCCCCGAACACTCAGCGCCTTCCTTTCAGCGTGTACCTCTAACATCGCTCAATATTCACCTTCGCCGTGCCTCAGCTGCCTTTCAATAAATGTAAACATTGCAGCGCTTCACTTCCTCCACACGGACGTCTCGTTCTTGCCCTGTGGGGGTTTTTGCGCCTCGCATTGGATGGGAATGTTTGAATAATTAACCACGAGGCATGCCAGGAGATTGGTTGATTCGGCTCTGTAGTTCTGATGAAAGCCAAAACTACTGCAGTAAAGTAGCCGGCGCCCTGAGCTGACATGACTCTGCACAGCCCAGCCTTAATGGAGTGGCCGGGGAGAAAGGCGTCCCCCTTTAGTGGCGCGCGGGCAGCTTTCACTCCTCCTCTCTGGTCCTCCTCTCAGCGTTTGCAGATGCCGCCTGGACCCGATTGGCTCTGTGCTTCCAGCACTCCTGTATATGTCTCTCTTTACTGATTAACTCCTCAATCGGGAGGGAGGGGAGCGCCGGGGAGAGGGGGGACGGAAACCTAACAAGTGCAAAGTAAAAAACAAAGGAAGAAGGAGAAGAGGAGGGGACCGATGAACAGATGCTGCAGAAACCTGAAAGCAAATGCAAGTAATGAGGGTGTGCGGGAGGGGGGGGGGGGGGAGGAGCAACCAGGGAGGGGAGAGAGCAGGGGAGGAGAGGGCAGTAACCGACAGCAGAGAGCGGGCAGGACAATAGAAGGACCGCACTCCCACACATGGTGCGAGCTGCTCCGGCTTTAAAATGTTCTTTTCAAAGAATCCGGCCGCTGCCGACCACGTCTCCTGTCTCGTGACCACCGGGCTCTTTCAAGTGGCCGATTGAATTCTCACTTTCTCCCCTGGATTTTTTATTTTTTCTTTGCTCCCATGTGCAAACTTCAGAACTCTCTCCGACTGACCAAATGGACTTCCTGCTGTGGGAGCTTTTTCAGGGTTGGTTGGATCGCAGGTTGGGCAGATGAGAGGAGGAACGACCAGTGAAAAGGGAGAGCCTCAGATGTGCATTTTGACCGTAGATGCGTTTGAAAGCTCACAGGGGGGGTGTGCGTGTGAGAGGCGGTTTTGAGGTCACTTTGGGAAATTGACGTGCGCGCTGGCCGATCTCTGTTGTCCTAAATAGACCCCCTCTGAGTGGCCGCTCTGGGCTCAGGCTGCTGACCGCTGTCAGCGCCGCGCTGCTCCGTGATCCATCTCAGCTCCTTCCAGTCGGGACACGCGTTTGCTCCGGTCCCCCGGCATTCTTCTTCTTCTGTTTTAGTTTTTTCCTGTGTTGGCACTTCCCTAGCTCACACTGTCCTGTCTCAGGCTGACCCCTAGGTCCGCTCGATTCCGCATGAAGTAGGTTAGATATGTATGAATAAGAGATTGAACTGGTGATTAATTAACCAGTTGACTTTCCACTTGGCTGAAAAGAAGTCCCCATCACTGGGAGAACTCCCCTAAAAGTTAGGAGCTCTTTTTTTTCTCCGTTAAACTTTATGAGTAAGGCTGCATTTTTGCTGTGTATGTTTATCCCACAGCAGCGGGAAGAGTTTTTGCTATAGGATGAGCTGGTAGTCCCCCACCCTCCCTCCCGTTGCCCCCCTTCACCCCCCCCCGTGTCAGGGGGGTATAGATTAGTGGTAGCTGACCGCGGCCCGGCCCCCGCTGCCCTGCGGGAGCTGCCGCCCTGCCCGCCCGGGACCCTGTCTCCCTCAGCCTCCTGCTGCCGCTGCTGGCCCGCCATGATGTGGCAGTGCCACGTCTCGTCCTCAGAGTGCCGCTGCTACCGGCTGAAGGGTTTCTCCCTCCTGAAGCGCTTTCCCGTGTCGGCAGGTGCGGCCGGCCGGCTGCTGGAGCAGCCCGTGGGCGACTGGCTGGAGCACGTGGGGCTGCCGCAGTACGAGAGCAAGCTGCTCCTCAACGGCTTCGACGACCTGCACTACATGGTGAGCCCCTCACTGCCTGCTCATTTCCTATGCGGTGCCTTTATTTTCCTGTATTGTGTTGCTAGAATGAACCTCTTTCTACTTCTTTTATCGGTTCTTTTTCTATTTTTATTTCTCTCTTGGTGTCCACTCCCTCCTGCTCAACACAGTTTATTAATCTTCAGATGGCCTGAGCGTTTATGTGGGAGCAGTTATTTCAGTTTTCTATTACTTTCTGCAACACTCCAATATTTAGATCTTGATTTAGAGTCATTGCATCTTTTGGCTCGTTTGTTTTTTATTTTTCCGAACAGGCTCTGAAGCAGAGCGTCCTCGGGTGTCTATTAGATTGTCCAAACATTCTATTCAGGTTTATACTGTCGAGAGGTGTCACTGCCTTTTACTAAGAGAGAGGAATTGGAAACGAACAAACATCTCATGTGACAAGAGGCCCACAGTCCAGCCTCTGCTAAAAGCAATAAGAGATATGCATTGAAAGTGATACACATGCATTAGAGCAGTAACAGATACATAGAAAAAGCATGCTTGTAGAACCACAAGATGAGTTCCTTTCACTTTATGTTGTTTATATCTGAGAATTCTTGTCAACTTTATTTTGACTTTCATTATGAGTTATCTCTGAATATTATCCAAACAATATCCAAACCAAAAGTGGAGCTCTTCAATACATTCCATTAATCTCAATGCTGAAACAGGACTCTGGTAACTCTTTATATGATTTGGATACAGAAAAAGAAGAGACGGGACGATAGCTGTCCTATTCAGTCTGAGGAGTGCTGCTTGATACCCAACATAGCTGTGCCCCTTTTTCTGAAGTACATCTGTCCAACTTTTTGAAAACTTCAGCTGAAAGTCTTATTTTTCTGTTGCTTTTTGGTTTTGCAGCAAATTGTGTTCTGTTTACCAACGTCATCAAGAAAAATCCAAGGTTTTCAGTAGTTTAGCTCATTATCCAGCAGCAGGCGGTGTCCTGGATCCCTCAGGCATTTCTATTATTTAATAGATGTCCTGCATTTGTCTGAACAGATAGCATGTTTGCTCCTTAAATCAATTATTTCCACAAACGTGGACGAAAGTAACTGAATCAAGAGCTACTCAACTGCTTCCACAAGCCGACCCGGCCCACTGTCAGTTTAATACGATACAGTGCACGGTGTGCTTGGTGCCGAATGCCACCAACTCTCATGCAAACTCATCTGCATTGAAGTGTTTGAAGCCACCCTCTGCTTTAATCTCCGTGCTGCCTGCTAGTCTTTCGCGTTCTTATTCCCCTGCTGTTAAGTCTTCCCTCTGTCAAATCGGAGCTTTCGCAATATTTCAGTCTTTCAATGCAGCTTACAGGCCACCTGGTTTCCCCAAATCTTTGCATGTTTAAACGCGGTGTCCATTAAACGGCAGGTGTCTCCCTCAGTAGACCTACAAGGAATCCTAAATTGGTCTTGAACTTTAAAGGATGACTTAACAGTGTTTGCTCTGCAAATCAGCCCGGCGTGAGCTCACTCCAACCGGAGGGCTCGCTCTGGAAATGGATCGATATCGGCACTGATTTAGTTGTGTTCAAGCAGCACAGCAGACACAAGCCTCTTCTGAAACCAATTCGATGTTGTTGTTTTTTACATCGGCCCATGGAGCAGATGTTCTGACCAAATGAGCTCTGCCTGGCTGTGCAGAGCTCCCGTCCCTCCCCCCAGTCGTGACTAGTGATACTTGTTGAATACTTTGGCGGTTTGCTGGTCTTCTGTTGACTGGAACAGACTTGGTTAAGTGCGTGTTCTGCGGGGGCGCCTCTTTGTCTGAAGCCCAGCTTTTATCCGGCCTGCCAGTGGAAAGCACATTTCCTTTGATAAACTCTCAGAAGTAATAACTTCTTTTAAGAGATTTCCCTTTTAATCTTTTTTTTTTAAGTTGTGCACAGGGTATAAAAAAACCCTGTTTGCTGGTTGGGGGTGCAATGGTCTCTCCATCTTTCACATCTTTTTGTCCTAATTGTTTTCATTGGCGGATAAGTGGTAACACTAGATGGAGTCGATGCAGCCAAGCCTGCAGAAAAATCCAGTAATGGCCTCATGCATTAGGAGCCCGCGGATTCTGTATGGATTAATTGACTCCTCTGTTATGCGGTGATGGTAATGTATTAATATCCATTTAAAAACATTTGTGTGAAAAAGAGAAGAAAACTCCTCTGACCTTGTTTCCCCCCTGGGCTGAGTGAAGCGATCACAACTGCTCTGGAAGAACAAACTACGACTGCTGAGCTGTTGGTTTGCTGTCCGAATGAAAGATCCATGCCCCCGAATACCTGGCCTGAATTCAGAGTGCTTTTGCACAGGGGGGGGGCTTCGTGGCTGTTGGCTGGATGGGTAAAAGATGACCAGACCAGCATATAAATGAAAGGAGCAAACACACACACCCCCCCCCACCCCCCCACACACACACACACACACACACACTTACACATTGTATAAGTATCCCACACACGGTATTTGTTATACACCACAACAAGTAAGATGGTCTGCGACAAGATCAGTTTTTGACGATTTCTTCATTTTTTTTTACTGTTTAAAAGAACTGGATTCATATGCTACAATGATAAACAATTGTGGAGAAGAGGCAGGTCTAAATTCTTAAGCTTGCCCTGAATCAGTTCTTAGTTTGATTAAGCCGTTAAGGCCTGTGAATGACAGTTCAGGGAACAGAAAAAAAACCTAAACAACCTTTATTGACACGATCTGTCATAAACCCTTCTGGATTTACTGATAAACTTCCACAAAATTGGCAGCTTTAAGCTGAATAAAAAAGTGAAAAAGATAAAACATTAAGAAAAAAATCATCCCACATCTTAAATCGTTCAGTAAATCATAGTTAACGATTGGCCTTCCTTCTTATGCTCATCAGTAGTAGGAGTTAGGTCTAAACAATCCCTTGTCCTGTTTTTGAGACGATTAATTTAAAAATGCACTAGGCTGAAAGGGAGCGCCTTGTTTTTCTTCTTGATCAGTTCCCCACATACTATTGACAAGATATAGGAGTGGTTTCTTTTTTTTATTAGCACAGTTGACTTTATCATAGAATTTGTATAGTCACTGATGACTGTCTGATTTCATAAAGTTAACAAAACAAAGATGAGGCTTTAAAGTCTTCAGAACTGCCGAGAAATCTAAAAACAGCCTGGAAATGAATAAAGAAAGCCTGTTAGTTATATAGAATCCATGCTCCCCCTCCCTCCAATTGAGCCACGTATCAGTCACTCCCCAGTGGGACAGTAATACAATCATCCGGGCACTGCAAAAGTGCTATTATCAATCCCGCTCCCCGGATGGTTTCGATCCCCTGCTGGAGAGGCAGCGATCAGCGGGTTGCCTCTCTGAGCTAATGGGCATCAAGTTGTTTGCGTAGCTCGGGGCATTCAAAGAGGAAAGAAGGTGTGTGAGTTGTTACGAAGGCTGTGGCTCCCCACGGCTGTGAAAGGCACGGTTGCCCATAAGTTTGCTTAAAACTGGGTGTTTCTAGGTCATTTTTCTACGTTAAAAACAGGTTTGGCACGCTCATGCTACACATGTGATACTAGATAGGTTGGGGGGGTATTTAGAATGAGATATCTGTGTCTTACTATTAACATTGGGAGTCCCCTGGCAGTATAACACAAGAAGCTTTCGTCTTTGACGGGCGGTCAGTCTCTGGGTGCCTGTGCACGCCGCAGGATTAAGTTGAGGTTCATTTTGAGGAGTCAGCTGCTTGGACGCTGAGCCCGCCACCGTCAGCAGCTCCCGTGGAGTGCTATGATGCTTTAACAGATGAGCTGTAGATGCTGACCTTTCCCATACATGGCTGACATTTACTGCTCCCAGATAGAGGGACTGAGGTTGAAGTAGTATTGCTTTGTAATGGCCGAATTCATTTGACTGTCAGACAATTAAAAAAGCAAACAGAACAAAGAGAAACATTTCTGTGTTAGAAATCTTGGCTTCGCATCTGCTTGTTGGGGGATTGGGTCTCCAAGCTGAGGTCAGATGTGACCTCTCAACTAATCTTCTTCTCAATCTCTTACTGCTGACTACTCTGTAACTCTGACATTCGATCTATGGCTCCTTTTTTCATTATCAGTTACCTGTCACATAGTCTCAAAGGTGAAATAGTTTCTAACCAAAGCCTAGCCTGACCATCATTCACATGTTCTCCGTCTTTCCCCTCCCCCATCTGCACACTTAAATTGCATTTAAGCGGCCATCGACATGGCCCCCAGGCAACAGCCAGGGGTTTGGTTCTGTGGAGGATACCACTGGAGTGATTGACCTTTTTTCTGCTGTGAAAGCATATTTGGGATCAATACGTCGCCTGCAGAAAATAATCTTCTTATGGAGGATTTGTCTCAGTTACATTTAACCTTGGGTTCAAGCAGACTGCATTTGGGATTTTCAAAGATGTTTTTATTTGTCGTATAAAAACACACACACACGTATACAAATCCTAATTTTTTGTTCTGTTTTGTTTTTATAGGGGAGCAATGTAATGGAAGACCAGGACTTGAGAGAAATTGGAATCACAGACCCAAGCCACAGAAAGAAGATCCTGCATGCAGCCCGGTCTTTGCCAAAGGTGAGGAATCCCTGAGATCTGCTTCATTACCTCACATCAGCATAATTAGGCTCCTTTAACGTTACTTTAGAAGGTGCTAATCCTTCCTGGATATCAAAGAACCGGTGCCCTGCTGGGGATGAGAGGGGATGATTCAATGTGCACCATCTCCGAATACTTACTTAGTTACATACTTGTCTGGTAAACATCCAACACATTTTTTTTATTAAACAAAACTAACTAACTACTGGTGGTTACTGTCACCAGCTACTCATCGAAAGCAGTTATACCCAAAGTGGGGGTTGGGACCCACAGGGGGTGTGCACACAAATGAACAAGAAAGACATTCTAATTTAAGCAAGCTGCCAGAAAATGACTGGGAAATTGGTTTAAAACAATCCTGTTGACCTACTCGCTGCCCTGATCCGTCAAAGCCTCCGAGACTTATGAAGTTTTCCTCACAGGTGAAAGCGCTTGGCTGCGATGGCAGCACCTCCCTGTCCTCCTGGCTGGAGAACCTGGGCCTGGACGAGTACTTGCACAACTTCCTGGCCAGCGGCTACCGCAGTCTGGACTGTGTGAAGAACCTGTGGGAGCTGGAGATCGTCAATGTGAGTTACAGTGACGTGTGTGGAGCATCAGAGGGTGAAATTAGTTGTCAAGTGCTTCAAAGGGATTCAAACCGACGGTTCGAACTCTGAAGGTGAATATGCAAAGGTCGGGGAGTAGTTTCCAGTGCCTGATTTCAAGAAGCGAATTCTTCACTCTTAGAAGACAGAGCTCAATTATGTGCCTATACAGTTGTATTTAAAAGCCAGCATCTGAAATCCAGAACTACTGACATGCTGATTTACCGTCAGTCATCCCTTTTTCCTGCCTCCCATGGAGCATGTCTGCATTTTACTGCTACCCGTTGACAGACCCAGCTATATTATCGACTACTAGCCAACCCCAGAGAGAACCTATAAAGGGAGTGTTGTTATGGCCGTGTTTAATGCTTTGTTTTCTCGCTTGTTCGGGAAATGATATCCTCCTTTTTCCTATTTCCAGGTGCTAAAAATCACACTGCTTGGTCACAGAAAACGCATCATTGCCTCGTTGGCAGAGAGGCCTTATGAGGAGCCTCCGGTCAAACCTCCCCGTCTGTCCCAGATCAGGGTGAGGGCCGAGGACTGTCCCACGGCCGGATTTGTAAGCGCCCCAAATGGAGCTGACTGCGTGACTCCGTCTTCGCAGTGTCAGGACCTTCCCGGGTCCCAGACCTCGTCTCTGCTCGGTCAGATGGAGCCCTACACAGGACGCTCCATGGACCCTCTGCTGCCTTCAGGAGAGGCGGGCAGGAAGAAGGCACCGGACACAGAGCAAGACCACACCCAAAGGCATCGCAGCGACCGGCACAGACCTCAGGCACGACTTAACCTTCCTCACCCGGTTCCCTTTTTTTTTATTGATGCAGTTTGTTTCCAGGGCGTGTGTCATATTGCCTGTTTAATTTCGCAGGAGCGGTACGAGGAATGGCACCAAGAGCCCCGGTTAACCCTCCGGCCGCCCAGTCTGGCAGCACCGTACGCCCCGGTCCAGAACTGGCACCATCAACCTGAAAAACTCATCTTCGAATCCTGCGCTTACGAAGCCAGTGTACGCCAACGCCTTCCTGGCTCTGTAGTATGAATGTTTTGTCTTCGGCTGAATACATGCACCACGGTCATGCTTTCTCTCTCTGTGTGCTTCCAGTATCTTGGTTCTATGCTAATAAAAGATCTCAGGGGCACCGAGTCCACGCAGGATGCCTGTGCCAAAATGCGGGTATGCAATCCATCTCACCACAGCATGAACTTTTATACTGCGCACAAGCTCACGCTATTTTTTTTTTCAGAGGTCCACGGAACAAATGAGAAAAGTCCCGACCATTGTCCTGTCAATCACTTACAAGGGCGTGAAGTTCATCGATGCAGCAAACAAGGTCAGCACCTGCGCAGCCTGGTCACCAGTAGCCTGGTCACCAGCAGCCTGGTCACCAGTAGCCTGGTCACCACCGGTCCTCCTCCCCTGTGAATGACATGCCTGTATCTCCACTCAGAACATCATCGCGGAGCATGAGATCCGCAATATATCGTGCGCAGCCCAGGACCCAGAGGACTTGTGCACATTCGCCTACATCACTAAGGACCTGCAGACCAGCCACCATTACTGCCACGTCTTCAGCACGGTGGACGTGGTAAGGACGGCCTCTGAATCCGGCTTAGCGCTGGCTTTAGACTGACTTTAAGGACGGATTCCCCCACTTGCCAATTGAAACCCCCTCCCGTAGTTATCTGTGTATACCGCCCAATCTCTAGGATGTGTGACGCTTGAGTGGTGGTTGATGACTTCCTCAGAGACCCAGCACTACTCCCGCTCTGATAAGCAACCATCCACTACTTGTTTGCCCCCCCAAGAGATCTGATGATTATGCTTCTGATCTGCCTAATCAGGGCAGAGTCATCTCCAAAGTGTCCGTGGTCACGCTTCTCTGCTCCCTGTTATTTTCCCTGTGTGTCTGAAAATAAGAGGCATCTGTTTGTAACAATCACAATCCACACTGAGGTCATGACTGCCATTTGAACCTGTACTGACCACCTGGTTGCCCCCGCCATCTGCTAGATGTGGTCTTCTCAACAAAAACAAACTTGGCGCAGATGAGTGTCTGACGCTGATCACAGCATTATGTAACGTTTGAATCCCCTCACCAGTCTGGGATGCTTATTCACAGTTCTAAGCTGTCAGCGTAAAACCAAATAATCCACCACTTTTAAGCTACAGAGGATGAATCCAGTTTAGGTCTGCATGGTTATTATATAAGTTTGTTTGAAAGTTTCTGGTGGGGGACTTATGATTCTGCCGTCTTCCTCTGAGCTTGTGGGGATTGACGGGACTCTCTTAACGTCCTTATTGTGTGCAGAACCTGACCTATGAGATTATACTGACGCTGGGCCAAGCTTTCGAGGTGGCCTATCAGCTGGCTCTGCAGGCCCAGAGGACCAAACACCACCACAACCTGCCCTTAGGAAACAGTCCGGAGGGCATCGAGACAAAGTCTGGCCGTCCAGTGCCAAAGCCAAGGGGGAGCACACGGAAATCAGGGGTGAGTCAGACCTCGCATGTCCCAGTGCAACATGTAGGAAGACACAAACCAGTCAGAGCCATGGCAGCAGACGGGTTACTGTTTGGATTCAAACTCTGAAAAGCACATTCAGTCAAATGCTGTTGTCATTTCATTTAAGTTTCATTGTTCTGACCTTCCTGTCAGCTCATATATTTCTTTAACCTTCCCTTTATGCCTTTTCTAGCCCCCTTTTCCTCTTTCTGTCACACTTATTTCTCTCCTCTTCTTCTAAGTCAACCCCCCAATCCACACTTGGTTACACAGCTTTCATCGTTACTACTAAATGTTACAATTGTGACACTTTGCTGAAACAACTCGTAAGCAGGCCCCTTTCTTTGAATTTTTATGTTGATCTTTGGCGCCCTCTAGCAACACTTTTCTACTTAGGCAGGTAAAGCCTGCTATTCTACTATTTGTCAGACTACTGTGTACAGTAGTGATGGTGGTACATATGTGTACATGAAAACCTTCAGCCCGTTCAGCACATTTCTGCTATGTTATCATTTAAACTTTTTCAAATGTAAAAAAGAAAAATCTACTTTTAAACGCTGTGATGAAATTTGAATGCAAACCGTTGCCTCTGAGATGCAGGGGGAGATTGTGATCGTGTGTGTCTCTCTCAGGGGGACCTGGTGGAGCAGGAGGAGGATTCTCAGTCCCAGGGCAGCGTCACGTGGCTCGTGGACCCCAAGGAACCCAAGCGCTCTATCAGCACTAAGTACGAGACCACTATATTCTGAGTGGACCCCCCTTCCTCCTCCTCCTCCTCCTCCTGGGCCTGGTCTCACCTCTCATCCCCCCCCTCCTTCTGTGTGCCTTTCACTGTGACTCCGCCTCTTTCTTTTGCGCTGGACCTTCCCTGCCGCCTGTCCTCCGCTTAAACCATCACTACCTGTGACTGTCAGCCAACTGCTGTTCCCACCTTCCAAAAATTAAGCCCCCGCCACTTCCACGCTGTTTAGCGATTAGTAACAACCCCCCCCCCCCACCATGTCCAACCTCTTCCAGCGGGTGTCCACCAGTCTAAGCCTGCCACTCACCTTCTCTGTTTATCCCGTGTGCTTCCTCAACTCTTGCCCTCACTGCTGATCTTTTTATTTCCTCAACTGTCCGCCTGCCACTGTCAGCTCTCTGTGATCGGCTCTTTCTCTTCCGCTGCATTAGGCGACGGCCGCTCTGAGGCTTTTCGCTCTGGCCTCTCGCCCCCTCCGACTCCTCCGAGCTCACATCCTGTACCCGGATGGGCACGTTTGCCGGGGAAAGCGTGGACCTGCTGCTGTAATTCTATGCACCGGTCGGGCCGTAGCAGACCGTTTCTGTGCAGTGGGACGCGGGTGCCCCAGAGGTCTCACACACACACAGCGCTGAGCTAGGAAGCTGTGCCTGCCGCGAGCCAAACCGGGCTAAGATCGTAGCACTGTGACGAGGCCCTTCTTAGCATTTCTTTAGAGGGGGAATTGAAGAGGGCTCAACGGGGACGAGGTTCCTGCTGATTCATGTGATGGACAGTCCAAACAATCTTAAAGACCATCTGTCCGTCATGGCAGCAGGATTTGAATCTGATGCCCCTTTAAGGGTGATCTTACTATAACTAAGCACTTTTACCAAAATCTCCAAGTGTGTGATGATAAGTGCATTTCCTCTATCTTGTCTTTTTTTCTCTCCTTTTAAAACAAAATGCCTTCACTGTTCATCCTGCCCACATTGCCTTTTTTTTCTACTCTTAATTCTTTTCTGGCACCACGTTAATGTTTCACTGTGTCGAGTTAATCGTTTCCAACAGGGGCGATCGACCCCTGTCATGTTTTTTTTGTGCGTCTGTTTACAGTTTACTCTCACGTCATTTTAACCTTGCTGCTCTGTTTACGTGTGTGTCTGTGTGTTCCCTTCCCTGTAGCTGAACACTGTGGCTGCTCCCAGGTCAGTAAGCCAGGACAGGAATGAGCCCTGTTTCATGGTGACTGGGATTTTTGTTTTTTTTGTTTTTTTGTTTGTTTTTTTGTTTTTTTTCTCCATTATTGAAAAAGCGACCCACTTCCCATGCACCGGATCGCACCGCCACTGGGCTCACCACGGCTCACACAGGCAAAGATGACGCTCCCCTTCAATTCACCTGAACTCTCTATATACACACACACACACACACACACACACACACACACACACCATCCATCCATCCATCCAGCCAGCTTCCTGCCTGTATAAGAGATGATTTCCCTGAGCGACGTGAGAGTCCTCCTGAGGCTTGAATCCTGGCCTCCTTCTCAGAGAGTTTGTGTTTACTGTTTCAGGAAATGTAGCTGCAGGCGTTAGATAAGAACCTGTTCCTGAAGGGGAAGTGACAAAAATAAGGAACATGGAATATTTAAAAAATTCTAGGTAAACTCGCTCCTGTGTCCACATGTGTGAGGTCCTCCTCATGACCGTGAGCTCACAGAAATGTCCCGCATGGGGAGGTACAGTCTAACCAAACGCAACACTATAAAAACTGTGTTATAGACACTTCCACGTTTAAATTTGTTTCAAGTTGTTGGTGTTTTTTTTTTGGTTTTGATTGTTTTATAGGACAGCGTGTGTCCTAACGCTGAAAACTGGATCAGGTATGGTTCACTACACTTCCCTCTCTTCCTTCCCTGCCCTTTTGTGTTCACTTAATCTTGACAAGATTATTCACCAAACCTGCCATGCAGGCTGGTACAACTTTAGATTTTAGCTGCAGAGCACGGCTACGGGGCACGGCATGCTTCTCTCGCTGACTCTCAGCGCGTTGACTGTTAATGGTACTGTCTGATCCACCAGGGTGTATCTGGGTACGTAGTCAGGTCATTTTGATTTAACTGTATATGTGGTACGCGTTCCGGCCAGTATGATCACACACTGGCACTTTGTGTTCAGGTGGTAGGTCTCAGCACCTACAGCCATCGTCCTGGTCTTGTTCTGCTTTTTGCACATTTACAAGGACCAGGAGACACTTTGGGACTAAACTGATGACAACTATGATAAGAATGATATTGTACATGATTCTAGCAGTCTGTATTTTGATACTTGAATGATTTCTGCTTTTATAGATATCTATATATATATATATATGTATATGTATGTATGTACGTATGTAATTTTTGACGTTTGTCAAAAGAGAGAAAAGGACTATGTCTTATGAAATAAAACATATCGTAAATAAATACCCTGTGATTTAAAGAAAAAAAAGAAAAGAAAAAAGGCTGAGATTAACTCTGAAGAGGGACCTCAATTCAGAAAAAAAGATTGTAAATAATCTCGGGCTTCCAGTCTTTTTTTTAACGATTATTTTTCATAATTGTACCACTAATAAATGTTACAGTTAGAGATGGGCTCTGTGTTGAATCTTTGCACATTCATTGTTCTTGTTGTGTCGTTTCTGCAAAACAAAGATGCTCGGTGTTACCGTAATAATCTTTTAGTTTGTTTTTAGGTTTTCCATTTTGGGATTTCCGTTTTCGGTGTCTAAAAATTTCACAAGGTGTGAGCAGCAGAAAGAAGGAGAGCTGGTATGAATACTAATTATAATCAATGATAATATCAGTACAAACAGGTAGTTCTCTTTTTACTTTCACCTCAGTTACATCCATACCCCAAAAAAATGTTGACTGTCAAAGCTCCTCTGTTGACTTTGTCCACTCGTTTACTTTTATCAACAGAGGTTCATTCAAATATTGCACACTTTGGGCCTTAACAGTTATTCTTATCTTTGTCATTCATGAAATGAGTCAACATAAGAAAATTACTGCAGCTATAATTCAAATGTCAAATGACTCTGAAATGCGTCAGAAGCAAGTCAAGTTATCTTAAATTTCTTGTCAGGTTCAGCTTGAAAAGTCCAGTTGCTCAATTCTGAAATGGAGAAAGACAAGTCCAACTTGGTGTGTAGCACCCAAGAATTTTAAAATGTCGTCATATTCTTGCCCCTTATTAACTGTCCATCACTGTATTTTTGTTTAACTCTAAAGTATTTGTAAAAAGGTTCAGTCCTGGACTTTGGCAGTGAAACAGTCTGTAATGATTGCAAGTACAGACTGGCATCACTGCTCTGTAATAAAGCTGAGGGACTAGTCAGGTTGATGTCTTTATTACAGACAACAAAAGATGTCACAGATTAATTTCTAAAAAAAGGAAGCTGCAGCGAAACTGAATGCTGAATAGTTCTGCTTTGCGTATAAGCCCACGCTTTGTGCCTGTAAAAAGTGAACATGAATTCAGAAATGTATAAGGGGAACTCATTTGTTTGTCCACCAAATTTGTTCAATCTGAATTATCACAAAAGCAGCAAGTTGAAAAGTATTCATGGGCCATCCAGCTGTTTTTTTTTAATCTAACAGGAAACAAGATCATTTAAACCATAAAAGTAGTCCATGTAAATTCTTTATATGGTCCCAAGGAATGAATAGGAAACTAACTGCGACTAGACCATCAGCGGCAGATCCTATATTGATGAATAACTAGGTTTGTCGATTAGTATATTTGAACTGATCACACTGTCTTTTGCCTTTACTTGAATTCTGTATGAACTCTGGACCAATTGGTAAACAGCAACGTTAGCAACAAATTCATCTAAACTATTTTCTTTAACATTAGTTACTGTGCACTTTGGACTTATTTATGGCAAAGTTACTGTGTTTGTCGATGACAAGTGAATATTTTCCTGTCCTTTGTGTACTTTCAGTTTGTACTTTGTGTACTTTCACTATTTAACTACCCTGCGGTTTCTCATTTATTTAAGTCACAAACCTATAGATAACAACTTTTGAGTAACTTTTTGTGACACTGTTGACGTAAAAAAATACACTCGTAAAATGTTTTTGTTTATCTGTAATATACAATATAATCTAGACTAGCGAGATAAATTAGCCTTTCTCGACATCTCATAGGTAATGCCTTGAGACAAAAATGATCATGTATAGCGCATTTGGGGAAAATGTTATAGACTTAGACTTAGAAAGTACTTTATTGGTTATTATATATTATTATTATTAGTTATTAATAATTCATAGTTATTATTATTAGATTATTATAGTATTTGATCCTCATTTTCTCTCAATAAAAAGCTAAATAAGTAATTTATTGCAATTGATTTTCAGGTCATTTAGGGTAAATAACCTAAATAATAAATAAAAAAAAGAAAAGAAATACTGGTAGAATTTCTTCAGTCCTGAACGCGGAACCACGGCTTAAGAAGATTCTCTAATGGTATGCTCTCCTTGGGAACGTCTGAGACAGCTGATTGGTCCGTCACCTACAGGCCCGGAAGCCAATCGGCTCACCTGGCTGCCCGCGGTTCATACCTGCTCGCGCCTCTGCCCCTCGCGCAGATTGACCTCCGCGAGCCGCGCATCGCTGCCATGGACTGACCTGAACACAGCTGCGCGTGCGAGCGAAGCCCGGCTCTTCCAGACTATCTTTAGCATCTCCGGTGAGTTTTTGTTTTGTTTTTGTTTCCTTCGGAAGAAAGTGCGTTTGGTTGAGTTGTCTTCGCGGATAAAAGGAGGTAGAAACAAACCAAAAATAAGTAAGATAAAAAAAAACTTTTAGTGTTGACCGATAATTATTAATTTGTCACTTAATTGAAGCGGCTTTTCAGCGTTATTAGACTTTTGTCACGGAGGTATTTTCTTCCCTGTTGATGAGCTTCGGCTTCCCACAGCTCAGAGCGTCGATATTTGAAAATCTTTTTTTTTTTTTTTAAATGCAGCGACAGTGAAAGTTGTTCTCAATGCATTATGTTGCCCTTTTGAGATTTGATATCGATCATGGGAGCTTAATCATTGAAATTCCGTCGAGATGAGTGAACATTGACTCAAGAAAAAAAAGTGCAAATATTGGTGCGCTAAAGTCAATACGAGTCATATTAGAGGAGCAAGGTGCCAAGCTAAACATTAATGACATTTTTTGTTTTCACTCCAGCAGCTGGTGAGTTGCTCAACCTGATGCTGTCCCCGAACGTTTGTTCACTGTAAATCATTAAACCATACCTTTAAGCGCGTGCTTCACATTTTTCTGGACCTTTATCACATTAACTCACTGTCATTTTTGTTGGGTGTACAGCTTATGTATGGGGGGTTTTGTAATGAGTCTGACTCAGACTGCTGCTGCTGGCCCCCGGAGGCCCAGCCGGTCCCTTCCCTGGTCAGGAGGAGAGCTGTCCAGGCTCCGGAGGAAGGCCCAGACTCATCAGGACACTTGGCTGAACCTGTGGAAGCAAGCGCGGTGACATTCCTGTCCCCGCCAGCCCTGACTCAGCTGTGGGCGTAGCGCGCTCTGCCACTGCTGCCCCGCAGGTTTAAAGGCCTAGTTCAGGTTTTTAGAGGTGTTGGCTTTGAAGTGTCTCACCAGTTGTTGCTGATCTGGAAGGCCTAATGGGAGGGACAGTAATTACCAGCTATTGAACCTGTCCCTTGAAGGTCGACGCGTGTTTTGGCAACGAGCTTGTATTTCTAGAAAACAGGCATGGATGGAGGTACGGGTCGTTTTTCTTTTAGATTTTTTGCAGAGTCTGCATTTTAGCTCTTCCAAAATGTACCTGGATTCCGGGTTTCCATCTTAGAATGGTTGTCGTTGATACTGTCAAAACAAAACAAAAAGTAAATGCGTTCCTTAAACTTCCCTTTTTCTCTTCCCGGTGGAGTAAGTTGGCTTTGATTGTCCTGCTTTAACACACTGACTCATTAAGTCTGTCAGGCAAAGTTTTTGACACAGAGACATCCCTGTAAAAGAGCAGGTGTCGCATTTGTGCTCGGGAGAAAGATCACTCACTTTGTTTGCTCAGGAATGTCACACAATATTGTTGACATTTTTGTCACAGAACAGTTACTAGTAGTTTGTTCCTTATTTGGCTTATCCACCTTATGTTTGTGGGGACATTCTGCAGAGTTACTTACTATTTGTCATTTAGTTATTTGCTATTGGTCATCAATAGATCAGACATCCAGATGATCTGTTAACTCATCTAGTTCCAGTTTCCAGGAGCTTATCTTTAAAGGATCACCCTCAGAGATCTCTAGTTGTCAAACTTAAAGAGCAAACTCTGTGTTTGTGTTTTTACAGCAGGAGTAAAAGCTCCTCCTGGGCTAGGACATCCCTAAAGCTTTCAGAAATGACACGCAACATGACTCCGGTGTGCTGACTGGTTTCTGCAAACCTGACTCAGAAAGTATATGTTTAATCAAATGTTCTCTAAGATAAGAGAACAATGACGTTCCTTTTTCCTTTGCTTTGTGAACACACCTCAACCTGACTGTGCAGCTGTCCTCACGAATAAATAATTCATAAAACAGGTTGTTAATATCTTCTCCTGGGGTACAGTATGTTGCATTTTCTGACGTATTTAATGTAAACAAACCAAACAAAGGCTTGTTGAGCTGAGTTTAGGCTCATCTTCCTGCTATCCTCAGCTTTGCTTATGACACTGGCTTTAGCATTTTAAGTTCTTACAAAGAAGTCAAAGTAAGAACTTCTACTGCAAGTTCCTTTTTGATGTGTGGTGGTATTGTGGATGAATGTTTTCCCCTGGCTAGTAGGAATGTGCTCACTAAGAAACAAACAGGGAGAACAACAAGGCAGAGCAGAGCTGCACAAACACGTCCACAGCTTTCCACCAAATTTACATAATGCAAATGCTTCATGTGTGATTATATGGAAAGAGCTTTTCACTTTTGCTCACTCATTTGTAATGAATAACAGGGATCATTCTTAATGTTTCTATCGTTATTCCCATTTTCTTTTTCTTTTAAACGATCAACAAAAAAAGTCTTTTAAAGATTAAAAATTCTCTTTGGAACATTCCATTAAATTTCACAGCATGCTGTCACACTGATTCAAAGTAAAGTGAAAGTAAAGAATGTCTTATTAATTTAGGCATTTGGCATTCCACAGTTAGCCACGTTCGTGTTAAAATCCCCTTTCGTTTTATTTCAGGGCATGTCTCATGCAGATAAATGCTTACTTGATAGACCGTCCTTTCACTTTAATGAATCCATTAGCATTGGAAGACGCGTTTGATTTATTGCAGCGACTGCAATTTGGTTCCTGTTTCAGGACAGTTGTGTCATTATGAAGATCATTTAACCATCAGCTATAATTTATGACATTTGTTTGTCATGTAAATGGAAAAGATGCTTCTTGTTAACAAATTTTCCACCTCATTTAAGTCCCAGACACATGTTTTGTTGGCTATTATTAGTTGTTAAGGAATGGCCATTTTGTGTTGTAGAGGCAGTGGTGCTACAAAGATGTCATCCAGTCTCTTTTAGATGTTTTGGTATCTTATATTCAAACGTTTCTCCTTAACCTTTCGTATTCCTCCCCAGACTTAATTTCATTGAGATTTACGCAATCAAAGGAGGACTGAAAAAATCCCAGGTCCCTCCACTCGTCTCCTGCTTTGTGCAATGTCTAAGAGCGGCACGTGGCCAGGCGGCGTTGTCGTGGAAGCCTCGAGCAATATGGACAGTGCAGGGAGCTGCGACAGCGTAATCAGCATGAACTCTGGCTATGTGAGTGTTGCTGCACATCTCATGTCAGTCATTTGTCCCAGACGCTCATCTGTTTGTTGTGTAATGCTGTCCATGGCCTCGGTTCTTCCTGGGCAGCCTTTGCATACGAGAACCAATCGGCCTGTGGTTGAAAAATGAGGAACTGAAAATCTGCTTGTGTTGTTATGACATGTACATAGACAGTATGCGGCGGCTGAATGTGAAATGAGAGGAAGTAAGGCTGCTTAAGTTGTTATCTTCCAACTTGGTCAAAGGGAGGTTGGCGTTAATCTGACTTTCAGCTAAATTATTCTTTTGCATCTGTTTGAACATATGTCAAACAGAGTGACAGTTAATTAAAAGTTCAAAGTTGCATGTATTTTTTATGTATTCGTTCTTTCTAATTTCTGATTTTATTTACAGAGCGAGGACAGTATGGAGCACCTAACAGCGGAGGAGAGGGCATGTCTCATGTACCTGGAGGAAACAATTGAAGCTCTGGAGGTGCAGGAGGACAGCGGCCTATCAAATGATGAATCAGAGGCTTTGTCAAGGGCGGCAAAACAGAAGGATCACATGAGAGAAAACGGTACGCTTTTGCTATCAAATACTCTTTTTTTTAACAACTGTTTCTACTTGAGTGTCTCAAGTACAGTTGATGCGATGCTACCTTCACACATAGTGTCCTCTTGTTTTGTTTTTTATTAGATATCTCTGTTTTGATATCTGAGTCTGGACCTCATGGAGAATCCAGACCCCCCGCTCCTGTAGTGGCAGCTCCCTTAGCTACAAGCACCCAAACAGGCACTGAGCACCATGCTGTGAGTCAAAGATTTGAACCACAAAACACACCGACAGCAGCCCAACCGAGCCCCCCCGCACCTGAACCTGCGACTGGTGACAAAATGCACTCAACGATGGGTTTAGCTGGTGGTGGAAACGCTCACCCTGAGAGTGGAACCAGTTCTGGGCCCTGGACAGGGGTGTCCACAGAATCCCCTGAGATTGAGCTAGCCATAATCCCTCCTCCGTCTGACTTTATGGATGAACCAGACACTCCTTCACTGCCAGAGAAGGCAAAAGATGTTCCTCCACCTGAAGGAATCTCTGCTGTGCCCAAAGAAACAGTTTCCCTGAATCCACTACATTCAGATGTTCCTGTGAAGAAAACTTCTATAAGCCCGCCGGTTATTATGGATCCTCCAGCCAAGCCTCCACCAATTAGTGCCTTAAGTACCCAGTTAAGTCATCCTCCTGAGATTCCTGAACTTAAAAGTCCTCCTGCTGTGGCCCCAAAGCCCAAGAAACTTCCTGCTAACATACTTCTGAAGTCAAACAAGAGTGTAGTTGATGGGAGCTCGGGGCATTCTGTGGCCTCCAGCAGTGACAGGCTGCTGTTGGACCCTCAGAGGGTCAGAATGGAGGCCCTTCGGAAGCTCGGGCTGATCAAAAGTAATGAGGAGGAAACGGTTCCCAGCCTGAGCCCTAAACTTCCAGCCAAACACAGACCGCCATGGACTGCACCCTCTCCTCCGGTCAGCCCAGCAGCTCCTCGTACACCCCCCATGACACCACCCGCCGCCCATCCAAACAGCCCCCCTCCCACCTCCCGCTCTGCGCTGCCCGCTGCATTGCCTTCAGCTACCACTGCAGCTCCTCCTGCTCAGGCCCCTGATGTTCTGCCAGCACCTGCAGCTTTCAGAGATCCCAGCGGGTCACTCTCCTCAAATGGTAATCTGACCACTGCCACCCCTCCTCTCACACCTCCTACTCCGGTCAAGCAGCGCACCTCACCAAAGGTCACTGCTATCAAGTCAGCCACGCTTGAGCGCTCTGGTTTGGGTCTAAGCAGGTATATAGCTGACCAACACTCTGCTGAAGCCGGTCAGGGCACCAGCGGTGAGCAGAGCCCCAGGCAGCTGCGCAGCGCCCGGCCCCGTCCCGCCTCCCTTGGGAGTGGGAAAGAGTTTTCTCAAGCCAAAGGGGAGGATTTCCGAGCGGGCCATGCAGGCACTACGATGCCCGTGCTGACTCAGCCTGGCCCCCAGCACTCCAAAGAGTCTGCCAAGCTGCCCCGGGCACAAGGAATCAGCGTGCTGATCTGCCCCCGAGCAGAGGACGATGACAACCGCCGCGAGGCTCTGAAGAAGCTGGGACTGCTCCGAGACTGAGCCTCGCCGCTCTGCTTATGCCACATACGGGAACAGCAGGGCTTCATATAGGACAGGGGAAGACTTTCGCATTTTTGGAGAAGCATTTTAACCACCGAGTTTGTGCTTCCTCATTTCTGCTGCATTGCTAAGCTTGTGACTGCATCACATGACCTCGATTCCATCACTGCCACACGACGTACAGCCACTTTTACAATTTCATGTATATGAAAAAGCTGGATATTGAGAACATTTTAGATGTTATTTGACTCTCACGGTACCTATGTCTCCTGTGAATTAGATTGTTTTCTTTAAGGGGCCAGTGATGGCCCTGTGTAGCTATTTTAGTCCATCTTGTGTTCGACTGGTATGAACGTTTTCCATAGTTTTTTGAGTGTTCCTTTTCTCTCCTTCCAACATTTCTACGGTCTCTTATTTAATTTAATGTACATAAATGTGTATAAATGTATGCCTTGCATTGGTGGAGCACACAGCGTAGGATAAAAGAAGCTGTGATGAAGCTTGCACGGGTGCGCAGTGATCCACAGAGCAAAAGCAGCAATCATGGAGCTATGCAGCCGCTGTGAGTCTGGGATCATTCTATACATGACCGCACTGATCAGATGCTTCTTTGTCTGCACGGGGACATGTCGTTTTTGTTTTGTTTCCTCTTCTATCTTCTCTAAGATGTTGGCCCCTCGCGTTTTACGTCAAACCACGCAGTGACGCGCTGGCTCGCCGGCTCTGCTGCCACTGTTTTTTATCTGATGTTCTGGAGAGGGAACTGGTGCAACCTGTTTTTTAGCTTTCCTTAAACATCGCTGCCGCTCATGATTGGTCTGTCACAAGCTGAATGGCTTTTTTTTTCTAACTCTGCATTCTTTTTAAGTATGAGTGACATACATTTAACTTCATAACTGGATGGAGTTGGTTGCAGTTAAATGACAGCAGGCACTTTGTGTCATCAATGTCTTATTCACACAAGGGCCAGCACCTCTTTTAAATGAATACCCCAAAGATTACTGTCATACCTTTTCTAATTTTTTTTATAATATGAAAGAAAAGTTATGATCAGTATCTGTTTGAGGAAAACTTAGACAGGAGACAAGGGATTTGAATAAAGTTTTGAATATTTCCTGATAAAGAGGTGCTAAGCGACAAAGTGCCAGGGGTGTGTTTTTATTAGTTTAAAATAAAGAATAGAAAACATCCTCTCCAACAGCAAAGCCTCGGAAGGAAGAGTGAGCTCAAATCTGTCAAGCTAACAGGGGTTGCTTTGTGGGGATCTGTGTTATGTTGGTATGCGAGCTGTCTTTTCTTCCTGACAGATGACCTTACAGCCGAGGAGTCAGCGACAGCATCTGTCACTTTCACCGGTACCTTCATAGACTGCCCAGATCACCTTATGTGAGTAACATATCAGGGTCTGCAAGCCTTCTCCCAACTTTCAGTATGCTGAGAATAGGCAAGTTACAAACTTCGGGTCTAATCATAAGCAAAAGGGGACACTGTAATATTAAATTCTATATGATGGTAAAGAGGCAATACTGTGAACATGTGGAAGCCAGAGTGTTCGGGTTTCTGTCGAAAATGGTTGGGACATAAAGGCTCAGGTAAAAAAAAAAAGTCTACGGTCTTTGATACATTTTTTTACACAACAGAGGAACTGGTGTCAGATCAGAACAGATCCTAACAATAATATCTTCACAACGGTCATCAGAAGGTTCCGGATTTTACCAAATAAATTCATTGTAAGGAATTTTGGATAGATTACCAGGAGGCCAACCGCTATGGATTACAATCATTATGGATGAGTTTGCTGGATGTTGCAGATTTGAGACTGACAAAATAAATTCCCAAACCAACTGCTAGTTGCTGGAATAAAATTTCTTCAAGAAGTGGTTCATAAAGACACCCACAGCCATCAATGAGGTCTCCATCTTTATGCAACCATAGCATTCTTTTACAGTTTAGCTCTCAAGGATAACATGGCAGCTCTTTTCTACTGACTAAAATCTGAGGTTCCTCTCTAAACTGCTTTGCTGATAGAGAAAACAATACTCTTTTCAGAGTGGTTTAGGTTTGCTACAACATTGTGAACAGATTTGAATTTGATGTACTCCAAGGATTAAAGTCTAATGGCAGTTCTCAATAAGTGGATAGACTTGTTTCTATTTCTGTGGTGCCTAATTTGTTTGTGTCAAACACTGAATTTGTAATATTTGTACTCAATGTGCTCCAGAGCTGTTTCAAGCCCAGGAATGTACATAACTAAGGCCAGTGTACTTACAATTACAGGAAGCTGGTAGTTTTAAGGTTAACAAGGCTTTCCAGTGTCGTAATTAGTATCAGTTAAACTGCACAGTTCTAAACCATTGAAACATTGTTAGCTATTCCATAGCGGACGTAAACGTTCTACTCAGAAAACTTAGCTTTTTCTTTTAGAACGGAACTGAACATTGCGTCATGTTTGTTGAAATATCATGATTTCCTGTCAATGTAAGGCAATGTGTGCTATTCAAATACATAAATTACATTAAAGTAGCTTATAAACTTAGTTTATCTGTAGGATTAAATATCAACTTTGATTTCTGTGCTTTAATGATTATAGAGGAAGTCAAGTACATCTGGAGTGGTTGCGTGAAAGGGTGCTGTTTGCATAGGATTAGAGGATTTTCTTCATAGGCCTTCATTTGGGTAGGGAATGCTCCTTTTATGTGACACAGATGTCCACCCTTTCCCGGAAGGCTGACCCACTGAGCTGTCTGAAGAGGACTGACAGGTGTGTCAGGGACAGGTCTGTTGAATTTACTTCCTTACAGTTAACGATGAATCATATTGTGTAGCCATCAGGTTTGGCTTGCTGAGCAAGATATGAAATGGAGGAACACAATACCTCAAAAACAAAGCCAATAAAAACTAATTAACTTGAATTGAAACATTCCAAACAAGGTGAGTTCAGAACTACCGAGCGCACCTTCCCATGTGCAGCCAATGCATCACCCAGAGACAGAGAGAGTGGGGGGAGGGGGGGGGGGGGCAGCAGCAGGGAACAGGCATCCATCCACCGTCTGTACCAGTGTTTCCCCAACCCTGGTCCAGGCACATTGAGCTCCATGTTTTCCAAGTTTCCCTGGTCCAGCCCACCTCATTTAAATAAATGGGACATGAAAACCCATTCATTTGAATCAGGTGAGCTGGAGGAGGAAACTACAGGGCAGTGTGTGTGAGGCCCAGGGGTTGGGAAGCACTGGTGTGTGCTACCTATTCCTAACTGGGTTACAGTGGGTGAAGGCTGGAGCCAAACCCAGCAGGGCAAGGGGCAGAGTCCCCCCTGGACATCTCACCAGGTCATCACAGAGTCACACAGGCAGAATCAGTCACACACACTCACACTCATTCCAAGAGGCAACTTAGCAGGTAATGTTCTGATATAAGGATTTTTTCAAAATCAGTCAGAGGTGAAAGTTTAACAATAACTTTAATGATAAAAATGAACAGCAAAATTACTTTCTTAGTTTTCAGTCTTTAATACCATTAATTTACAGTAATATGTCAGGATGTAGCAGGACTATACAGAGTAAAAAAAGCAATGCCTGAGCATCCAAACTGGGGAGGGCTGCTCTCCGGCAGGTTTTTAGTTTTCCCTGCTTCAAAAACATGATTTATGTGCCATTATCAGGCTCGTGCAGAGCTTTTGAACTGATCTTCTTAATCGGTCAGGTGTGTTGAAGCAGGGAAAATGCTAAAACCTGCAGGGCAGAGGCCCCCCCCCCCGGACCGGAGTTGGACTCCCCTGCTGTAGGAGGTCCATTTCCTCCACAAGAGGGCAGGGCAGACCCACGTCAGTTTACCAGCTAGAGCAGTCTGCCTGCAGTTTTACTGCTCAAACCCTAGGCAGAGTTCAGTAATGGGATATAAAAGCAAAACAGTTCACATATTTTCCCTAACCACTGAACTCTTGGCAGAGCAAAATCCAATAACCTGGTTTGGTATATCTTGTTTAAAAAATATGCAACGCTTAAAGGAATTTGACTTTTCACTCTCCTTAATGATAAGATTTAGACAGACTTGATACATATTTGATCCCTTTGCAAGGAAGTCATGACTCATCATCATTTATTTTAAAAAAACATTCTCACGACTACTTTTGTTCTAAGGGAACTAATGAAAGCATTAGAATTACACTTCAAATCAACTCAACCCTTTCCAAAGAGAAAGGATAATGATAAGTTTAACAAATCTACTTCTGCACATCACATCAGTCTGGAATTTTAATATCGGAGAAGATTTTTCTGCCCGTGAGTTATCATTGTGCCCAACATATGTTTTCTTTTCCTTCTTTGTTTTCTTCCATCTCATTGATTCGTTGCTGATGAGTCATCGCAACGCTCTATCATTCTCATCATCTTTGAGTCATGTGAGGCCATAAGATCGCATCATTTGTTGTCAGAGCACATCACTGAAGATTTAGACCTCATTTGCAGATCTTTTCTGACATTTAGTGATCCATGATGAGATGGTGGGATAATTGAGCTATCCCTCATACAGAGGCTGAGAAACGAATCAACAATCGCATTAATTCAGCCTAAAGGAGATTTGAATGAAATGGTCCTTGTCAGTATAGTAAGCCTTTAAAAAAAACTCTGTTCTTCAGTAGATGGTAATATTTGGGAGCTTTGCCATTGCAATAGTCAAATGTGTTTTACCAATTGTAATTATTTTGGTTAATCTGCAGAGCCAAGTACCCTCCTATGTGTTCTTTGTTAGTGTTAAATTTGTATATACATCAAAGTGAATTTTTCTTTGAGTGTTTCTGCTCTGCCTATGATGTCAGCGCATGCCCACGCCCATCTGACGCTTCACTTTGTCCCGAGCGGCAGTTTTTATCTCTCCAAAACAAAAAGGCTTTTTCTTGTTCCTTGAAAGGGGGGTGATTCAGGTCAGAGCATTAGCAAAGAATGTCAGGGCTAAATGTGGGCGATTTGCTGTTTTACTCATCAAAGTGTCACAGAGACGCTTGGACTTAATGGTCGCACATGCTCGGCTTGGAAAGCCTTCAGTGATTTGAAATGGATCTTAAATTTTGTTCTTTGACTGCTTTGATGAGGGCTTAGGTGAACTACTTTGTTGCACAGTTTCAATGTACCTCTACAAGGCTCTTTGGAAATGAAAGGCTCCCTGGTGTCAGTAGCTGGACGATGTAGGCGTAGCTTCTGCAATATCTGGCTAGACAGTGAGCTCATGGGACTTCCCGACTATCCTGGCCCTGTTTTGTACTTACCTACTTACACACAGAGTCTGTCTGGGAGAAGCTGCCTTGACCCTTCCACCACTTTTGAGCTGATCATTGAGGATTAGCAGAGACAAAGTGGCGCAGAGCCTCTGTTGGCTGTGCGGAGGTTTCGGCATGCCCGGCCCGGCTCTGTGTCATCAGGAGCGTTAGCCGAAAATAAACGGGTATTACCTCTGCTCTGTTTGGGTGTGTGTGCCTACCCGGGCTGTAAACACACTTATGCAATTTAGCTGTGTGATGACGGCTGACGCTCTGAATGATACAAACTCTGTAAGGATTACACTTAGGACCAAATCTCTCAATCTTCAGATCTGGAGGAGTCTGCTTGATTACAGGCATTTAAACAAACACACACCTCGAGCACACGCCTGTCTCTTCCACAGGCCTCGCTCCCCCACTCATTCAGCTGACGAGCCTTTCTGAGTTGTCTGCTTCCCCGCTGAGGCATGTGTAACTTAAGAGGGACATAAGCCCACACAGCCCGGTGATAACGCATATTACAAACTCCCATCCAGCGCTGCCATGCTCCCAACGCCCCAAAAAATATGAAGGCCTCTGCGGCCGAGCTGGTTTCCTTCCACGGCGCTGGGGAAAATAGTTTCTGACATTTAGGAATAGCTGTTGCTGTTATAGTCAGAGTACCTGTGTGAGATCCCCCCTTTTTGCTTCCGACTCAATAACTGTGTTTCCTTCTCGCTCTCTCCGGTCCGTGCCCGTGCCAGTGACTGAGGCTGTGGTCAGGAGGCATTCCTGGGGCAATCCCCCCGGCGTTCGCTGAGATGACTGCGCTAAAGTTTGGATCTCGGCGAGCCACTCGGCTCCCCTGTGGCGCTGGCACGGTGAGTAGCAGGGCGTCCCGCTGGGCCTGCGGTGGTGTTGGGAACCTCGCATAGGAAGTGTGTTAAAATAAAGAAGAGGGGGGAAAAACGGAGAGAGGGAATTTTTTGCTTTCGGCTCCTGCGTTTTCACAAACAAACCCCCTTTAGACAATTGGAGACCATAAATGTCCAAAAGGAAGAAGGTGAATGAGAAGCTGAGGTGATATTCCCCCGTGGATGACCATCTGGAGAAGAGCGTTAGGCTCTAAATCCGTAGTTCATTAGCATGCAGCGTGCTACCGAGGTGGCTCTTGCAGTTGCATCCATCTTGCATTTATCTTACTACAACAGCTGTTCTCTGACTTTAAGATTTGGAGTCAGAATGAAAAGTTGAAAGAATATCTGTCTAAAATGGATCTGCTTGCCATAACTCATGTGTCCATATAACTTTTGAGAGTAGAGCCAGTGTTGAGTTACTAAGTGACTTACTATGGGTGGAAAGGCTTTGGCAGAGTTTAAAATCTAGATTTTTTTTATTTTCTTGTATTTATCTATTCATTTTTCAGATGTTTAGAATATAAAAATACTTTATTCACCCCCTTCACTGGAAAATCCAGAAAGATTTAAGATGTGTCCGAATGGCTTCATGCTCCAGCTTTTAACTATTTCCAAACAAATGTTTGATAAATGTCACACTTACTCCGCAAAATATGTTATAAGAGGTTTTCTTCAGTCCTTCATGAACCTGATTAAAATACGCTATATGAAAGTGCCTCTGTGCTGCCTCCCCACTCACTTCACTCTTTGAATGCCCTTTACCCAAGGTACTCTAAAATCTTTTTCATGACAAGAATCATAAATTAAACATTACCTGGGTTTCGCTTATGTGTCTGTGGGCGTAAAAATAGCTCGGTTTGGTGCACAGTGTGACGCCTGTGCTCAGCCCTCTGTCTTTAATGACATGTGTGCTGATCCTCCATGGCGACTCCTTCTCAGGCTCTGTGGCAACTGTGTGCTGACTTTCTCAAACTCCCAGAGTGG